AATAGCAATAATTTAATATTATGCGCTAAGAATTCTGTACTCAGTGGTATATGGGACATGTCAGTTATTTCATTGCATGTCATTCTCACTATACCCCTAAGAGGGGGGCATTACTGTTCCCATCTGACAACTGAAGGTTGTACCTAAGGTCACATGGCTGGTAAGCACCATTAATCCTGATCCCACAGATCCTGTCCCTATTTACATTTCCTGAGAACTGAGAGGAGGAGGGAAGATACCAACCACACCCACTCTGCTCAGCAGAACCACCAATGAGCGCCACCTCCAACTACCCTTCTGAAGGCCATGAGGATGTCAGGGACATCTGGGGAATGCTGACTATGGCTTTTCCTTATAGAAGCTCACAGCCTGTCTCAGATGAATCGCACTGTGTCTCTTCAAGGTGACTCCTGAGGAGAGAAAAAGAAGCATCCCCCCCCCCCCCGCAACTCTGAGACTTATACCTTGGGCAGTGTTTGGGTGTTCATCTCCTTTAAGCTCAGGGGTGCTCAAGAGGTAGTGACCAGGACCCCAGGGTGTCCAAGGGATCCTTGAATCTAGAATGTAGGGTCAGTGGCAGCCAGGAAAGGGCAGGGATGGAAGGGCCTGCCTGGCACAGGGTCATGTGGGTAAAGGCCTGGTGGTGGGGATGGCTCTGGGAGGATGGAGCAGAGCAGGCTGAGGAGGACCACAGAGCAAAGGCCTGGGGACTCCGGCCCTAAGAAGCAGGGGGTTTCAACAGCCGCCTTCTAACAGCAAAGCCAGAGCCAGAGGGCGGAACACAGAGGAACAGAAGCTTGGGAAGGGATAAGACTGATGTGGGTAGAAAGTGTGGGCCCAGCCAAGCATGTGAGAGGTCTGCACTGAGGGAGTGGAAGGGCATGGGGCCTAGGAGAAGGGACAGAGAGGTCCCCAGGAGAAGAGAAGGAAGGGCAGGAAAGGAACCAACCATCAGAATACCACTTGGGGCGGCAATGTGCAGTTTTCTGGACCAACTCCATCTGCTTCCTACAGGGTTGAAGTTCCCTGACCTGAGCACACACTCTGGAGCCACAGATGCCAAGACAAGGCCTTCCTCCGGCCTGCTGTTTACTGACACAGCCCCTATCGGAGGAGTAACTAGGATCAAGACCCAGAGGGAGTTCCAAGAGCTGCATCACCCCTTCAATGGACCACCCCACCCAAATTTATAGGTCCCAGTGTGGAAAGGGACCTTCCTCCTCTCCTGAAGGACGGAGCAGGAAGACATCCTTGCTGTCTGCAATGTCCAGAGCATCCAAGTCCAGGGGCTCCCACTGGAGATTCAGGGGAAGTAGGCTCCAAGGTGGGCCTCAGTTACCTCTGCTCTCAGCACTGTTCAGACTCAGTAAACATCACTGAATGAGTGTGTGAATGATCAGGTGAATCTCTTTCCTTGGGGAAGCTAGGGTGCAGTTGGGGCACCTTAATTACCCAGCACTCACTTATGAGCATGTCCTCAGAGGGGCACCTCAAAGACCCTAAGGACACTGTGGGGGACTCAGTCCCTGACTCCTGGGCCCACCAGGCCATGGGGGAAGGGGGGCAAGGGTTGGATAGCTGACATGTAACAAAGGGTGCTCACTGTACCCTCTTCCTCAGGATCCCTCTAAGAAGGACGCCTGTGGGGGCATCCTAAAGTCTTGAAGAGGGAATTTTCCAGTGTTTCCTGACATATACCCCACAGTGCTTTGCTGCAGGAAATGTCTGGTCTGGTACTGAAGAGTTCAGGCTCTAAGGCCTCACCTGAACTCCAATCTCATTTTTACTTCTTTCTAGTGGAGGAGTTTTGAGCAAATCACCTAACTGCTCTAATCTTCTGACTCTCAAAGTGCAAAAGGGTAATAATGCCCTAGAGGGATGGTGAGAGGTAAGGACCTGCTGCCTGTAAAGCACCAGCTCCTTTGCTATTATCATTTTATCCCTCTTTTTCACTCCTTTAAGGTGGATTCAAATGAAGATTCTCCTGAAGTTCACAGCACTTCCATCTCACTTGGCCAAGTCCCAGTACCATGTGAACATCAGAAAGCCAAAGGTCAGGCTTCCTCCTCCCCTCCCTATACACTCACCTTGCCTAGGTAAACCCATGGAACAGCAGGGATCCCATCAGCAGGCACAGCAGGGCTGGGCACCCTGGGGCCTAACCAGCTCCCGGAGGGCCCGTGGTTGGAGCAAGGGAGACTAAGTTTTGGGGAGACAGGAAGAAGGTTCTGAACCCTGACTTCCAGAGGCTTGGCTGGATGAGCAGGGAGTTTGGCTGACTCTCCAGGATACTCTCAGAAGGACCATCACTCTCCTTTAGACCCAAGTCCTTCTCTGACGGACGATTTGCCAAGGTCTCTCACAACCTGGAGAGCAGATCTCCATCATAGAGAAATGTGCCTCATTTCTCTACTCAGGAACCTCTAATGCTTCTCCAGGATTCCCACAATCAGCCTGCAAACTGCTTCCCCATTTTGTCCTCCCAAGCACCTGGACAGCTTCCTTCTTCATTTAGTCTTCTCCCCAGGAGCCCAGCAAGTTTCCACATAATCTCCAGGAGGGCCCAGCCTATCTTCCAGGTCTTACCTTTTCTGCTCCCCTCTCTGCTCTGCAAAGCCTGGCCCACCCAGAGCCTGACTTCCTTGGACCTCACTCTTTCCTACCTCCAGCTATTAAGCATCCCCAGCTTTAGCTTTTTATTTACTGGATATGTGACCCAAAGTAAATCACCAGATTCCTCTTAACCTTCACTTCCTGCTTTGCAAAATGGATCCAACAATACCCACCTGAAACATTCCAAACAAAGCATTTAGCATGGCCCTGGGTGGTTAACAGGCACCCACCAATGGTGTGCACCTCCCCGTCCTGGTAAATGCTTTATGTTTCATTCTCCACAAGATTTTATTTTTCTCTGAGGATGCATCTTACACTCGCCCCTACCTTCCCTCTTCCCTAAGCATTTGGCTCAATGGTAAGCAGAGAATGCCCCCAAAATGCAGTAATACAACAATTAACAAAGGGGACAGCTTCCAGTGATAAGCTTTTGGGGCCACTCCAGGAGGTGGAGAAAAGAGGGATTCTGCCATGGCACACCAAGAAGGCCCTGCAGTCCTGCCACTGCTTGCTCCAAGCGACATGAGGCGGTGCCCTCATCCTCTGAGTTCACTGAGCCCTCAACTGGTGGTCAGGAAGCCACCCACAAAGCCCCTCCCCAGGGCACATTTCACCCTAGTACTAGCCTGCCAAGCACATCCTACCTCCCACAAGCATTTCCTGGGGCCAGTAGGTTCCCCTGCTGGTGAATTTCTTCTCATGCTTGGCACCTAAATCAACAGCTACAAGCTGATGAGAACTGTGGAGGCAAGGCTTTTAGCCTGGAGGCTCTGTACAGGCTTCTCAGAAATGGGGACAAATGAAAGTCAGGAGAGTGGGGCAGGAGCACCATAGCAGAGGAAACACTTGTGTGCAGGGAAGGCAACAAGGAACAACTTCGTCCTCCTTCAACTGGTTGGCTGGAAATTCTCTTAAGCTCCTGCACCCAGACCTATGCTTTCTCCATGCACTGTGAGCTCCAAGGTCACTATGCATCCAGGAACTCATCACCAGGGAGGGCGAGGAGCAGAGACCAGGGGCAAGGGGAGACTTCAGGCCTACTTGTCCTCCCTGATAGGGTTCCCTCACCAACACCTTCAGCTCCTTCTGCCAAAAGCTCCCTGGGGGAAAGAACTCAGCACTCTGGTACACTCCCTTCAGGGCCTGGCTTTACAACATGGCCTCTCAGGAATGGCTATCCTCTCTTCCTGCCTCCTGCCCTGTCTGCCCACATCTTTTACAGAGGAAAGAGACTCAGGCAGGAGTGCAGGGAGGCTGGGGAACGCCTGTGTTGCAGCCTTGTTTATGCAGCCTTTGAGTCCAGGTGAGTCTGGAATTCAGGAGGGGGCTCTCCCAGGTTGTGAATGTGGGTCACCCTGGCCCCATCTTCCTTCCGCTCAGCAGCTGTGAAGCTGTGATGCCCACATCACACCAGGCCACACCAGGAGGCCTCACCATCCCCTCTCACTCACCCCAGCCCCAATTAAACATTAAGCAGCTCGAGCTGGGCCCAGCACCCAGCACCTTGTACTCCTATCAACCACGGAAAGGCAGATTTTACCCCTTGACTCTCGGATTCTTGGCGAAGAATCTGTCTGTTCCCACACTAACCCCTTGAAAAAGCAGGAAGAGAAAGGTACAGTTTTGGGGTTTGTTTAGTTTTCGGTTGGTAGTTTGTACATCTTAAGCAGCTCTTGCTGCTCAAGATCTGTCCACTCTGAAGGGCACCAAGTTTGGCTAGAGCTGACCATATAGAAACTCACACACACACACACACACACACACACACACACACACACACACACACACTGCCCTGTCTGTGGCTGCATACTGATGGCATAAAATGCCCCATAGAGCTCCATAAGAGCCTTGAAGATGCTGCGTGCCACAAGCCCTCCTTGAAGACCAAGCGTGGAAAAGAAAATATAAACACCCTGGAGATGCAGGAAGGGCAAACAACCCCTTCCAAATGGAAAGTGCGAAACAATAAGGACGCCCCAGTCCTGGAACAGAGCAAGGAGAGGGGGCCCTGGCCCACAGCCCCTAGTCTCCCCGGCCCTCCCTGCGGTCCCCGGGGGAGCAAGAGCAGGTCGGAGCCGGGTGGTCCGAGAGGCCGGGACGCGGGTCTTCCCTGCCCGGCGCTTCCTCCGAGGCTGCTCCAGCCCCCGGGCTCCCCTCCCCCTCCTCCCGCCACATCTGGTTCCACTCAGGTCCTCCCCCACCTCCAGGCGCGCTCCTTCTCCCCTCTCCTCCCCCGCTTTCGGAAAAGCAGAGCCGACTTTTAAAAACCCAGTCACACACGCACACGCACACACGCTCCTGGGGAAGGGGGGCGCCGAGGGAAAAGTCGAGAGAGGCCCGCTCCCCGCGACCGGCGCCCAAAGTTGGCCAAGTTGGCCGAGTCTTACCAGGGAGGGCGGAGGCGGCGGCCCCCAGGCCCCCAAGGAGCAGGACGAAGAAGCGCAGCAGGTGACGAGGCCCGGGCGTGGGCCCCATCCCGCGGCGCGGCGCTGCGCCCGGCGGACGCGGGCACCGAGGCGCACGGCGGCGGCGCTGGAGCTGGCGCTGGGCTGCGAGGACCGCCCGCGCGGGGCTCGCGTCCTCTCCGGGTCGGGACGGAGTGATGCCTCCCGGGGAGGAGGAGGGAGGAAGGCAGGCGGGGCGGGGAGGGCGGAGGGAGGAGCGCGGGACAGGGAGGAGGGTTGGAGGGGTAGAGGGGAAGGGAAGTGGGCAGCGCGGGAGGGGAGGAGGCGCGGGCTGCGAGGGGCTGGGGCCGGGTCCGCACCGAGCGCGTCGGGAGCGAGGGATGGGGATGGCGGGGAGGATTCGCGCGCCCAAGGCAGACCCAAGTGCGCGCTCCTTCTCTCCACTTCTGTTTGCTAGTTGTCTCCCCTCCTCGCCTTCCCTCACTCCTGTGTCCCGCCTGGAGCCTCAGACGCTGCGTCACGTCACAACTCCCCGGCTGGCGCGGGTGGAGAAGCAACTGCGAAACTTTCCGCAAACTTCACGGCGTGGCAGGAGCGGGGCTGAGGGCGGGCCAGCGGAGGGCGGGGGCGCGACTGACCCAGGTGGCCAGACCCAAGCCGCCAGCACGCCCTCCATCCTGCTCTTTCTGCCAAGGTTCCAGCCGCCCAGCATCAGCTGCTACTCGCACGCCTAGGAGGATTACTCGGCGGGCCTGCTGGGGAAGGCAAAGCCCGTCGTTCAGACACCCGGGCGTAGATCAGGGAGGGGGAGAGCGAACAGTTCTTGCACTTCTGGTTTGAACATCTGTGTGACCCGTGTCAGTGTCCCTGGCGCAAGAGTGTAGCACTTTTGGAGGTTGGGGCCGCATCCAGAAACCTGGGGGAAAATCTGTTCACTAGAAGTCTGGGAAGACAGACATCACTCCCACCACTGGACTGCTGGCCGGTAGCAAGAGGAGCAAATGGAAATTTCATAAAGGGGAAGAATTATGCAACAGGTCACTGCAGCACAGAGCCCTGAGCAACCTTGGAAAAGTTGCTTGGGATCTTTGGGCTAAGAGCAAGACTGAGGCATCTGAAGACCCTAAGTACAAAGAAGATGCACTCTCCCACCACAAGTAACTATATAAAAACATTGTGAAACTAATATAAATTTTATTGTTTCCTGGGCTGTCCACCCTGGTACTTTCTTAGAAATAACAGATTTGACTTTTCTGCTTGTTTATGACTCCTGCCTTGGATAGTCTTTCCTCATCTCTGCAGTGAGCACTGGGGCATAGAAGTTTGGTCAGCTCTTCTGGTCTTTGACCCCTACAGTCCCCAGAAAGGTCCCATTCTGGGTGGGCCAGCCACATTCTGGCCCTGAAACAAAATCCTTTGTTACTCCACAGCTCACTCGAGCAGGTCTGAGGGGGCCAGGTCCCATTTTGTAAACTGCTGCTCTGTTGCCCCTTGGGACACATCCTGCTATGGATGTCCTGAGACCCAGGGCCCTGCGTACAACTGACTGTGCTGGCTTTGCCTCCAAGACTCCTCTTGGCTTCCCTTTCACAGTCTTATCTGCAAGAGATCTGAAGATTTTCCAGCTTCAGCTAAGCTATTCTCTCCCATCTGAACAGCCAAAACAGGCTTCCGGAATGGGCTGGGACCCCCCACTTCTCCACCAGCTGGAGTAGCCTTTGGCACAGGGCAGAAGCCAACTCCTTGACATCACCAGAGTGTGATGAGGCTTGAAAGATCCCACTACTTGCCAGCACAGGGCCCACTGTGTGCCCAGGACACAGAAAGTGCAGTTTCCTATTTGATCACTAACGCATCTGCCACAACCCTCTGCCAGCTGCCTGGGAGACTTAGATGAGCAAACACATGTGTTCCATTTAGTGGGGGAAACAGACAAAGTTTTTGCCATATTTCCAGGCTGCAAAGATTCTGCTGAGAGGCTGAGGTGCACAAAAGTGCTCTGCAGTAGCAGGGATGCAGGTCTGTTCACACCAGAGACCCTGTTCTTGTTCTGGCTGAAGGTGAGTCTTCCTGCTCCAGCTCATCAGGGTTACTCGCTATATTCTGCAGATGGTCTGTCTGGCCTCATGTGCACAGCTACCATCTATCTAGGTAGATCTTGAGCTCTCAAGAGAGCAGAGGCACATCTGGGCAATTCTGAAGAGAATCCAGCCCAGTCCCTCACTGTGCAGCCTCGGTTGTCAATGGAATGTGGTCACAGTTTGCAGGAGCACTGGGAGTTGTGAAGGCTGGGGCTTTTGAGAAATCCGGCAACCAGACCCTCATCTGCTTTCAAAGAAGGGCCAGAATCCTCTGTAGCCATGCTCTCATCACTCCCATCAAAGCTCAATTCACTTGCTATTTACTGAGGGCCTGTTATGTTGTGGTTATCAGGCTAGACTCTTAGGAACTTAGTGGGGTCTCTGGGCAGGTCAAGGAGATTTGGCCAATTGCTGTAGTGGAACCAATACTGAGGAATGGCTGTCCTTCAGACACTGGCAGTGTCCTTTAGAGGCTGACTCAATCTGCAACAAGTGCTGGGGAGGTGATTTTATGTCAGTTTAGAGGAAGAAGCACCTTTTAGACACCTGAGTAAGAATCTTGGCTCCCCTAGTTTTCTGACTTTCAGCAAGTTGCTTCAGCTTTCTCGGAGCTCACAATTCTCCTATCCAAGTGTTAACCAGGCCCAACTCTACTTAGCTTCTGTTATGAGACTGGGTATGTTCAGGGTGGAATGGCCATAGGCCTGAGCTCACATTTCTTATGTGTAAATGGGGCAGCAAATTCCTACGTGTCATGAGGATTAAACATTAGGTGTAAAGGTCTGGCACAGCCCAGCTGTTTGGGGACTGGAGTCCTGTCCGATTCACATTCTTCCTTTGCCACGTAGGCATCAGGGGGTCTCCCTTACTTCTGACCCGTCACCCAGCCTGCCTCTTTCCACTCTGTCCCTACTGCCCATGAGATCTGCACAGGTCACATTTCTTAGGATTGTGGTACTGGGTGCAGAACCTTCCCTCATTTTCTGAACATCTCCATGTTTAACTATACAAGAATGGAATCCCGAAGTGCAAATGACTTTAGATGGAGGGATCTCGATGCACACTGTGGCTGGCTAATAAATGCATGTCTACAAGCAACTCAGCTTGGGTCAGTGGGTAAGTCCAGGCCTCAGCATTGAAGGTGAGATGAGTTCTGGCTCTGCCATTCACTTAGCCACCTGTTCTTGAGCAAGACACCTGTCCTTGAGTCTGTGTCTCTGAAGTACAGGTTTTAGTTTCATTATTCATTGTCCTTAGGGTTATTTTGCAGTAGTCTCCTCTTCCCTGCTTCTGGGACTCAGCAGCTGGAGGGTGCCCAGGGGAGCAGGGTACCCCAGCAGGCCAGGCCTTCAACATGTTTAGGAAAGGAGAACATGAGACAGGGAGAAAGAATGCAACCTGATGGCCATGAAGAGTAGGAGGCTGTACAGAAAGGAAAGCCTTGGCCAGCTCTTGGCTGAGGCAACTAGAGGGGGCTGTGACCCTAAGGGGCACAGCAGGATCACCCAACTCTATACCCTTTTCACAACACAGCAGAGGTCCTGACCTGATGGATCCCACCTTTTCTACCCACTTGCTGGCTCCAGCATCTCAAACTGCAGGATGGCACTGGGTCTTCCTCCTGCCCCCTGCTTTCATTTCCCCAACTCATAAAAGGTCAGGCAGGGTGGGATTTTTCTAGTCTCAGTACTTGAACTTGTAAAGCAAGGCTGGGCCCAGTCTCTCCAATGGTGGCCCAGAGGGAGGACAAGTAGAGGGTGGCTTTGCCGGGGCAGAACCTCCTCTCATCCACCCTAGGCCTCTGGAAGACTATAAGAGGAGCCAAGTGGCTTCACCCAGCTGGCTTACCATCTCCACCTCAGCCCCAAGAGGCTGGCCAGGCTTCTCCATCCTCTAGTGGAGCAGCAAGAAGGTAGTCTGGGAGACTGGCTACTGGTGGGTCTAATGAGTGGTGGACAGCCTTTCTTTTTTTTCCCTGAGGTATGTGTGTGTGGTACTGAATCCAGGGCCTTTGCAACCCCCTCCCCCCCACTTTGAATCAGACAGGGTCAGAAAAATTACTAAGTCACCCTCCCTGGGCTTAAATCTGTGATTCTCCTGCCTCAGCTTCCCAGAGTGCTAGTATTACAGGTGTGCACCAGTATGTATAGCTGTATTTTAAAATATGAAGTAAATGTCGGTGAATTGCAAGTGAGTGGAGTACTATTTTATGGAATATGTAGTGGGTTGAGATGTTAAGTATATCATGCTGTGGGCTCCCATCCAACCAATCTGAAAAATACTGCTGTTGAAGTCTTGGCACCAGCCACCCTGGCTCCCCAGTGATCCCTACATAAGACTCTGACCAAAGCACCGTATCTGACACACTGCCCGAAACTCATCCTCAGCTCACCTTCCTTCAGTGAGCTCCTGAGTGCCCCGAAATCAAATCACAATGGTGGGTGAAGTAAGGACAAGTGAGCCAAGACACTATGATAGCCCTGAGAAGGGCAGCCTGGAGGTGCCACCTGAACTGAGTTTTCAAAGATGCTCAGGTGGCCAATATGACTGAACAGCATTTATGAGTCCTGGAGGTGGGAGAGAGCCAGGAGAGATCTTGGAGAGAAAAACATTGAGAAAAACATTTTCTCTGCCTCCAGCAACCTGCCCTTTTCCTTCTGAAGTCCAGCAGGGGAGTCTCTCACCTCACCTCTCTTACCACACCTCCCAACTTATAATGTAGTCAAAAGCAAAGTCACTGTGCCCTGGATCTCCCACAGAGCCTAGCCCAGCACATCAGGAACAGAAGGCCCTCTACAGATGTGTCCCAAGTGGATGTGAGATGTTTATACATGTGGCAGTTGTGGCTCAGAGCGAGTGTCTGACCCAAGGTCATACCACAAGTTGCAGAGTAGTGGCATGAACCTAATCCTCACATAGGGCTCCACTGTCAACCTGCTCTATGATTCCAAACCTGGGCATGGTTTTGTCTGACTAATGTGGGTAGGGAGCAGCTGGGGAGCAGAGTTTGTTAAGACTGTGAGCAGTTCTAAAGCGTCTGAAGATGCAAAGGACTCAGGGCTCCTGAAATTAATTCTGATGCACATACCTTCCTTCTCATCTTTTCAGTGGCATGCCCTTGTCTTGGGGTCTAGGAGCCAGGCTAAAAGGCCAAGGCCCACACTGGGGTCATTTTCTGTGTCCTGTGGATATCAAGTTAGGAGTCACTGTGACACATAGATGGCACCTAGCTACAACTTGTTTCTTCCCCCATCCTCTTAAAAGCCTTACAGCAACTTCAAAGAAGCCAGGACACAGGGTCCCATTCCAACTTATCCAATTAGGAAACACAGGAGTAGGAAGAAGCAGAGCTGGATTATGTCTTCCTAATCTGTAAACAAGATGACAAAATCAGATCTTAGGGAACCTGTGGTGCTAATGTTCTGTAAAGCCATGTCCCCTTTACCACTTAAGTTCATTTCCAACTGAGGACTGCAGAAGCAGGGCTGATGCCCACACTGGCCTGGCCTCCAAGTATATTTTTAAGGGCCATTACCCAGGAGGGAGAGGAGGGACACAGTAACAGGATTAGGGCAGATATGGGAACCTGGGAGCCTAAATGCCACTATGCCTACAGCCACCTCTGCCCACAAATGCCACTCAAAGAATTCACTACAAAAATCCTGTGGTCCCTTCCCCAGTTGCTGCCGCTCTACCCACTGCTGTCAGCAAACCTCTCTGGGCTTTTAGCATGCTTGTCTGTAAAATCAGAGAGATGTTCCTACCTTGCCTATGTATTAGCTGTGAAGCAACACAGCTGAGACACTTCTTTGCAAAGAAAGTCCCCTTCCCTTTTTGGCAACACTGCCCTCTGTGCCCCTCTCTAAGCAGCCTTCAGGGTAAAAAGGCGTGTGCCATTCAGGAGACCAATAGTGCAGGCTGCTCCCTGAGGCTGGGGGGCTGAGGATAGCACAGCGCTCTAGCTAGACTCTTCCCACCACAGCCAGGACGCCTAACCCAGGGCCGGGGGTGGGGCTGAGTCAGTCAGCAGGCTACTGATCCAAGGTCTTCAGTCCAAAGCCTCACATACACACATCCATTCACTGACTCCAGCACAATAGCACTCTTGTATTTCCTGCTTCCAGCAGGTCCAAGACCTGTTCCCAGGCTTGCCTATTTTCTCAGCCTCTGGCAGGTTCCCCCCTACCACCCACAGAGCTCACAAGCACCATTCCCTCCTTAGTCCTCCTCTTCTCTCTGTAAGCTCTTTATTACTAACTCATCCCAACGCTCCAACGAGCTGCAGTCCAGCCCCAGCTCTCCTCACCCCTGATCCAGACTTCCTTTTCTATTCAGAAGCAGACTCATATCTCAGCTAGCTCTCTCCTGCAGTCCTGGCCCCTTCAAGTAAAAGGAAGACATGAAAAGTTAATTCACAAGATCCCATGTTAGTATTTTAAGAGAAGGCCAAGGGTGAGAAGCTTTGTCCAAAGGAGTGAATGGTTCTTGAGTGTACTGTTATTTGGGTCCCTCCTGCTGCTTCCCACAAAGGCAGCCTATGTATGACAACAGTTCTAGGAGAGCCCAGGGCTTAAAACAAATCTTTTTTTTTTTTTTTTTAAACACAAATCTTTATCCCCAGTGTAAAACATAAAAGAGGACTCATCTCTGCTTTCCAGCTGGGTGAGTTCAGAAGAGGCCCGAGGGCTGGGGATGTAGCTCAGTGGCAGTTCTTGCTAACAGCCACCTTCCCCAATGACCCTGTCCCAACTACAGTGGCTGGCAAACAGGTGGGGCAGGACTTGCATCCTTCTGGGCTCATCACACCTGGGAGTCAGACAGTCTGCAACTATGTTCTCAAACATAGGGCATCACCTGGAGGTGACATCAGAAAGCTAGGTCCTACCTCTATGGTAGTTTCTAACCACAGTGAGGAGAAGCTAATGGAAGATGCATCTCTAACAACTCCCAGGCAATGCTGAAGCCACTGGTCACTCTCAGAACCACTACCCTGTAGGGTGCTTCCCTCAGACTCAGCCAGAAACAGTCTTGGGAGCCTGGGTAGGAAATCTGTTGACCTTGTAAGACAGAGACTGATGTTGAATGACAAGCCACAGGGGCAATCTCTGAAAAGGTCTGTATCACCTACCCAAGACCAGAGGATCTTCTTACCCCCATGGCAAGGAGAAGCCTCTGAACCTTGAATCAGTGAACGTGTGGATTCCAGGACAGTTCTTTCACTTAATGGGTCTTGTGGTCTTTTTTAAATCAATTTTTTTATGCCCCTCTTATGTGCCAGGCATTTTACCTATCTTACCTCTACTCTATTCCCACAATGCAAGGAGATACCCCTAAAGATTAAAGAGGTAGGATTTAATTCCAGATCTAACTTTAGTCTTTTAACTCTGAGTAACTATGCCTTAAGGAAACAGATACATCGAGCAATTTGGATGAAGTAAAGATGCTCAGAAAAAAGGAAGATAGGTCAAATTAGTTGTAACTGCCTTCTTGGAAGAATGAAGCTCTAGAAGTCTACAAGACAACTATGTTTGAAGAGAGCTATTTTTAAAATTAAGAACTGTTAATCTGTGTTGAAAGAAACACAGATTCCTTCCCAGACCTGAGGGAAGGAGCTGTTCATCTCAGCTGGCCACAGAACCATGACGTGCACAGTTCATTTGGGTTATTCTCCACTTAAAAGTTGCCAGTTTCAGGATGGAAGAACGGAATTTCTTTTCCTCAGACCCGTGTATTCCATCTCTTCTTGAGCCCGGAGCACTCACTCCTGGATTGTGAACTGACAGCTGGGCTTCCCCTATCCTGTTTCCACCAACAAGCCCAATTCTTGGTGCACTGGAGGCACAGAAGGTATTGCATAAACCAACAGTCCCATCATGCCAGGGGGACTCCACCAGCTGCCAGGATTCCATTCTACTTGTACCCTCCATGGTAAAGGCCCTGTTTGGGAGCTGCAGAGCTAGAGGAAAATCAAGAGACTGGGAAATTAACTTCGGAAAACTTATTTTAATATCCTTTCTCCCTCCACCCCCGTTTGGGAAAGTGCAAAACAGTATGGCCGGGTTTAATTACAAATTAATACACATTTTTATCATTGTGTAAAATAAATCAACATTGTGGCAATAAGGGACTATCACTGAGAAAGTGGAACCCATGTTAACAAAGTATGTCATTGGAGAAGCCCACTTGGACTATGCTGGCTCCTTTGAGGACTAGAAAAGGTCAGTGGTCTGCATGTTCTCGGGGGCTGCCCACACAGTGGGAAGAGGCCTCGCCCAGACTCAGCCATTCAGGCCCAATCAAAGCAAGGGAAGAAGGTGCTTTTTCTTTGGGATGAGGGGAGAAAAGACAGATCAACAGATTAACTCATTTATGCTGAAGGTTGCTATTTTTTTAATTTTTGCATGAAATTCATGTATGCTACCTAGAAAAATTCAAGGAACAAAAATTTGAAGAGAAAATTTTTCATTATGTTCTACTCTTAAGTGCTGTTCCAAAAATGGAACACTAGGTATAAAAGGATTTAAGTCCTTAGTTTCACTTATAAGACCATGGGAAAAATGGAGGCAGTTAAGTTGGAAAGGCTAGAAATGCACCATTTTTTAACCTTAAAAAGTGAAAAATCTGTGCTCACTCTGGCAGCACGTATACTTTAAAAAGTTACAAATTAAAAAACAAAACTTTAATTAAAAAATTAAAAAGCTAGGCATAGTGGTAAAATGCCTCCAAGTGCTCTGGGAGCTAAGGCAGAAGGATCGCCCCAGCTTGAGCAATTTAATCAGTGAGACCATGTCTCAAAATAAAAAAAACAAGGGCTGGGGATGTAACTCAGTGGAAAGGCCCTGGGTTCCATCCTCAGCAGTAGGAAAGGCATGAGAAATGAACTATCACAAAACAGTAAGATTACTAGAGAAGAAAAAAAAAGGCACAAGGGTGTGGTGATGCACGCCTGTAATCCCAGCACTCAGTAGGCCTAGGCAGGAGGATAATGCAATTTTTAACTACATATGGAGATCTTGGCTCATAAAACAAAAACAAACAAAAAAGTAGTGCTGGGGATGGAGCACTTGCCTAGGATGCATAAGGCCTGGGTTCAAGCCCTAGCAATGGAAAGAAAAAGAAAGAAAATACGTATATCAGCAAAAGTTTTTAAAAAGTTGGGTACCCCAAGACCTCTGGGGCTGACTTCCTTTGGAGCGCTACATGACAATACCTCCCATGAACTTCTCTTAGTTTGGAATGCTCCACCTTCCTTTTAGGTTGCCTGCTAGGATTTAGATTTAGATTGAGGAGAGAGGGACAGGCCCACGTAAGAAAAAAATAGTCCTACAAAATGTGTCATTTTCACATGTAAAAGAAACTCTGGAATCAACATTTATTTGAAGGGCCCGGGATTTAGCTCAGTGGTTCGGCCGCCTGCCTCGAAAGCGCAAGGTCCTGACTTCAATCCCAGGTACCAAAACAAAACAAAACAAAAAAACCCCAGTTATTTGAGAGCTCTCTGCCCTTCCTGACTACCCCCTGCCCAGAGAACTCATAGGGCTGAACACTACATCTTTAAATATTTTTGGCTGAGCCCTCTTGCCACATATGTCAGTAACATTCCAAGCTGGCTACCACATGTTCAGGCTCTGGCCTCCTTTCCTCTCCTGCCGAGCGCTCTGCTGTTTCGAGCACTCTGCTGTTTCAAGGGCACGGTGTGGCCATGAGTCTCCCATTTCAGCTCCATCTTCAGTTGATCACACATTTCAGAAACAACCAAATTTTTGTAAAAACTAGTTCCAAAAGAATGTTCATAGCTGAAATACTTATTTTTTTAAAAAAAATTCCACTTGATAAATCTATTAAAGTTAGACAAAGTGTGTGTATGTGCACACATAGACACACACCAGCACACACCCACCAAATTTAGAGGATTGGGGGAAGGTTATTTCCTGCCAAAAGATCTAACAGAGGAATGCTTATGTACTAATCAAGTTTTAATAACATGGTTATCAAGAAATGTACACCATTTAGCAAGCACACAAAGACCGTGGGTAGGAACTATCGATCCCCAGAGCATTTGTCTTCCCAGACTGTTTTCTGCCTACCTTTGGATCAGTATTGATAGTCACTACATTCAGAGAATCCAGAAGGACTGCATGGACAGATGAACCTTTATTTAAAAAAATAGCACTTCAAATAAATTAAAAGGGATAACCGTCAAGTGTTCAAATTGTGAAGAAATAGTTGAAAACCTAGAGAGACTCCAAGCTGCGGTCTTCTAACCTCATTCTTTGTCCAATGGCAAAAATCCACACATCTCAGTTCTCCCACTCCCTTTTTTCCCCACTGAGATGAGGGAAGCAGTTGCAAGCAGGAGACCAGACGGAGGAGAAAGCTGCATCTGATTGGAATGAACATTGCCACGTATTTGCTAATACGGGTTTCACTTTATGACCAAATGTATTCCTTCAAAAATAAAAAAGGGGAGAGGGAAGCTGCATATCTTTAAAAATTGAAATTATTTAGGGATAAAACACTAACTCTAGTGCCTTTAACGGGCAATAGCAACTTTTTCCCTCTGAAGTCAAACACCATCCCCAGCTGAGCCTTTGTGCTACAAGCTTTTCAGGAGATGTTACCTAAACTTTATTAAAAGAAAAGAACAAGTTTAAATATAGACACTGGACTAGCCCAGTCTGTATTTTCAAGTCCACATTCTTCATCTGAAGCATTGCATCAGGGACCCCCCTGAGTCTGTAAGTTTTCAAGTTCACAGTACATGGAACCAGTTTTTCTTTTTAATTTTTTTCCTCACTCAGAGCAGCCACACACAGTGGCCGTTGACGCTGGAACCTTGGTAGGGGCCTTTTCCTATGAGGCCTGGCCAGAGCTGCCCAAGGTTTCTCCTCAATGAGAATCGATGCTGTCATGCTCTATGGATGGAAAAAAAGCAAGAAAATAAAAGCACCTGGTACAGGTTTCATGAGATCCATTCGGATTCGCTATGTTCCAAACCCGCTGCTGAATGCCACTTGTCTACTTCATGTGTTGAACAGTCTGTGGCCTTGGAATAGGTTTCAATTTGAAGAACTGTTATTGGATGCCCCAGAGGTTGATGCAATAGCAGCTCCAGCAGGGCTACTTGTGGAGACTGACTTTCGAATGTGAGGCAGCAAGTAGGGGTCACAGGCCAACTGCTGGACATCAATGCGGTCCTCCTTTCGGTAGGCCAAGCATCGCCGGATAAACGCCTGCAAAACAAAGTTTCTTGTAAAAGACTGAGGCAGATAATCCTAGCACCCCAGAGACTAGCTGAGGCTCTGGATCTGTGGCCAGGGCCCAGTGCAAACAGCTCCTAAAAATAAGGTGCTTCAGGCCTTTCTGGAAACCACCAAGCAGACCCAAAGAAGTCAAGGGGTCAGCACTGGCAGCAGCACCTCTCTGCTGCTACTGAGTCCCCTGCCTCGCTGTACAGGAAGCTGAGCTTTTTCTGAAGAGGGGAAGTATGGCCTCTAAATACTCCTGCCCCCAAAGCACTGAGATCAACAACAAAAATCTCCTGGCTGGTTTGGATGGAAACAGTCTAACTTCATGGCCGTGCATCGACAAACCATGGCCTCACGTGAACTTCCTAGGGAAGTGGAAATTTTAAGCTCATACTACACCACCATATCCAGCATAAGGAACTGACAAGGACTGACATTACAAAGTGTCACAGGCTGAGAAATGCTTTTCCTATGGACCCCCTTTTCCTCTGAAAGGTCATTAAACAAATGATCAGGCACTTACTAAAGGGAACAAACAGGATTGTATCCCCAACAGTACTGCAGACATAAAAACATACTGTAAGAGAGTCTGATAGGGAATTCAAATTTATTACCAACATGAAAGTTTTCTTCCCATTAGGTACAAAAGGCTAGTATTTTTTTTTTTTTTCGGTATCGGGCATCGAACTAGGGTCCTTGCACTTGTGAGGCAGATGGCAGAACCACTGAGCTAAATCCCTGAACTATGTACTTTTACTTCTACATTTGTCATAAAGGTCCTTTTATAGATTGTCTTTTCTTGTTGGCTTTCTTTGTATTTTTTAACCAGGCAGCTCTATTTATACTCAATGTTTTACAATATAACTATTTAAAATAAATTAATAATTTTTTAAAAAATTGAAGTATTATCATTACCAAAAGCCTACATTTTACAGTAGGGTAATAATGATATGCCAGTGTAGGCTCATCAGTGATAACAAAGGTATCAGCCTAGTGTGGTATGATGGGAGGATTGTGGAAGAGGGACTGGTGGTATATAGGAGCTGTGTAGTTTCTGCTCAATTTTGCTGTGAATGTAAAACTGCTCTAAAAAGTAACATTTACAACAAAGTTCAAAACAAACTATTGATTTTCATGTTTAACAAAATATAAAAGTATAATGCTAAGTCTTGCTTTTCAAAATTGAAGACACTTCCTTGATTAAAGTATGTGGAAGATATAACAAATTTATAGAAATGAATATAAGGACCCCTGGCCTCTAAGACTGAAACTTTCTAAAGGTTCTCATATGGAACTGGAGTTTAACTGGTTCCCTTGTGTCAAAAACTTGTGTTACCTTGAATTTTCTCTTTATATAGCAATCAGATCACATAGTAGCCCTGATTATACCCTTTGCCCAGGACTGGGCAGGGGGTGGTGATGGATGCCTGTAATCCCAGCACCTTGGAGGCCAAGACAGGAGGATCACTAGGAGTTTCAGGTCACCCTGGCCTACATAGTGAGTTCAAGGGCAGCCTGAACTACATAACATGACCCTGTCTCAAAACAAAACAAAACAAAACAAAACAAAACAAAACAACAGAGTCTTTGTAAATAGGGAGAGGTAGAGGAGTTGAAGGGAGGGCAGGGGAATGGGGAAAAACTAATAACCAAGACTTATCATGTAAAGATACAAATTCCCAATGATGAATGTCATCATATTGTATATCTGAAATGTATCAATAAAATTAATGAATAAAACAAAACAACACAACACAATACAACAAAAAAGGCCAGGCATGGTAGTGCATGCCTATATGCCAGCATTCAGGAGGTTGAGGCAGGAGGATCACCATGAGCTCAAGACCAGCTTGGGGAACATAGTGAGGTCAAGGCCAGCTTGAACTACATAGCAAGACTCTATCTCAAACAACAACAACAACAACAAACCAATGGCATTGGGCCTATTCTGTCACTCTCCCCTCTGCTTTGCCTGCTTGGTGCACCTGTAAGCTCATGCCCACATTTGAGCTGAGCTCACCGATCTCTGCAGGGAATGCCCCCCTCCCCAATCTAAACATGGTTCCCACCTTCATATCATTCAAGACATTGCTCAAAATGTCACTTATCATTAAGGCCTTCCCCAACCATGCCATCAAAAAGAGGTTCCCGCCTCCCAAACTCCCCTTTACTCTGATTTATTTTGTTTATAACATTTATAATCATCTGAAATGTATCCAATTTTGTTTTATTGTCTCACCTAGTGGAATGTAAGCTTCTTAAGGGCAGGGACCTCGTCTGTGTAGTTTATTGCTACATATTCACAGTTCCATCTCCACTACCTAGAACAGTGTCTAGTGACTAATAGGCACTCAATATTTGCTGTGGGAGGAGAGGAAGAGAAGAGGGTAGGGGTTGGAGAGATACATATTTAGAAGGAGGAAGATGAGGGATAGTAGAGACAATTAGTGGGAAGATCTGGAGATATTTCTCTATTCATTATAGCAGGTCTATCTAACAATTCCTAAGGTTTTTGAAACATTTAATCATTTATTTAATGAATAAATGCCAACATCTGACAAAAGTGGTACAAACAGTCTCTAGAGACTTGACAAATAAGGAGAATTAAACATCTGTTAGGCAACAAGTCCTGGGTGCCATTCTGGGTGGTGGCTGGGACATCAACACTAAAAGCAAATTGCAGAAACTACTGAAGAGGCAGGTGAGTCAAGCCACTGGAGCCTCACAACCAACCTGCATGGTAGGGAGGTGCTTTGGCCTCTGTTTTATGGATGAGGAAAAGCATCTCAGAAGGTTTAGGCAAAGTAATTCAAGGTCACACTGCTACTGAAAGCAGCACGATCAAAATTAGGTCTGTCAGGCTTCAACACTGAGGCTTTCTCCAGCCCTCTCCCAGGAAAACAGCATTTGCCTTAGGAATATACTACAGAATTTCTCCCTTGCAGTTTTAGTATCTTGGTTATAGAGTACTTAACCTACTGAATGATGGGGACAGGAAGTAAGAAATTATAAACTATTGCTAAAGATGTTCTTTCTTTTTATGTGACATGTCAGGTAGGCCACTTAGAAAAGCAGTTCCTTCCTAATGCTTCACACAGGTGCATTTGGAGGGAAAAGCTGAAACCAAACACTGTTAAAGGGAGTCAAGATTTGTAACTTGCTTGAACTTTAAAATTGCTGAATGACCATGGCATTCAATGAAGCTCACCACCAATCTAAGTAGGACTGGTTAAGACAAAGACAAAAAGTAACAGAGCAAAAACAAACCAAGTATAGTTTCTTTGTCCACCTCCGATTCCATGTTACCCTGGTTTTACCTTTTTATTGGCGGGGGAGATGGGAGATGATTGGGGATTGAACTGGGCCTTTGCATTGACCTACATCCCTAGCCCTTTTTTAAATTCTGAGATGGGGTCATGCTAAGTTGCTAAGTAGTGTAGGCTGGGCTCTAATTTGTGATCCTCCTACCTCAGCCTGCCAGAGTACTGGAAGTGTGCCACCACATTCAGCTAGGTACTACTAATTGATCCCAAGGTCTTCGCACAGAGCCACTGAGAACCACCCCTTTCTGTTTCTGTTTGTTTTTTGAGAGAGGGTCTCACTATGTAGTTCAGGCTGGCCTTGACCTTGCAGCAATCCTCCTGCTTCAGCTTCCTTGAGTGCTGGGATTCCAGGCATGTGCCACCATGCCTGGCTTTCTTTTTTTTTTTTTAAGATTCTGAGACAGAGTCTCACTAAATTCCCCAAGCTGACCTCAAACTTGTGATCCTTCTGTTTCAGCCTCCCAAGTAGCTGAGATTACAGGAGTGTGCTACTACCACACACTGGCCCTGGTATATTTTTAGGAATGACCTCATCTGACCAACTGCTTTAGAGAATTTACTGCTTACCACTCACCACTATTTAATTGAAAACACCTTAGTTCTATCCACTCATCCATCTTCGGTGGACCCTTGAGTTATGACTGGCCTGACATATGAACAACTTGGGTTATGAGTGGAATTTTAGTTTTAACATAAGACCAAAGTCTTGAGTTACAACCCAAATGCCGGCCACTTGTGTTTCCAGATGGTCTCAGATAATATTTAACCCTTAAAGAGTTCTGGAAGGAACATTACATTATCCTTTCCTGTGTGAGGTTAATGAGAAATCCTGGGCCAATGTCTAAGGACACTGAGATCTGCCTCTAAACAGGAGAGACTTGAAGGCTGCACAGAGGAGCCAGGGTCTTCAATTGGCCAATTTGAATTACAATCAGCCCTCAAGAACCAAATGAGTTCCTAAGTCAAGAGTCCACTGTATTTATTTATTCAGATGTGGTATTGCTATGTTGCCTAGGCTAGCTTCGAACTAGAGATCATCCTGACTAAACCTCTTGAGTAGGTAGGATTATACACATGTTACCACTGGACCTGGTGCCTTAGCACTCCTATTATTTCATTTATATGGGCTTTAGCACCCCAAAACTGATCATACTCCTTGAATAAGGACAAAGCTGGGGATTCTTTCTAATTGCCCACAGTGGCTGGTATAATTCTGTATCTATGCTGTATAGACTGCTATAATAGTCCTTCCCTGCCTGACTCTATGGAGCTTTGTGGAATAAAAAAATCTATCTGTCAACATTCCTTTTACTGGACGCGGGGATGAGGAGGGCAGAGTACAAAGCAGTATTCTCCTGTCTGTTGTTTTTAGGAGTATTAATTCATCCCTATCCTGTTTTTAATAACTGCTAAATTTCATATTAAGAAATCCACCTACTATTACCCCAAGAAATAACATAGAAAGCAAAACAGTCATTCCTGTTGGTCCATGGCTCAAACTTACCTTTGCTTCAGGTGTTACAACTGGCTTTGGCGGGAACTGCACTTCAGTAGCTTTAAGAATAGTATTCTCTTGTAGAATGTCCTGCTGGGACTGGTTGTGGCCAAAAGGCTGTAATAGAAACACAAAACAAACAAACAAATAAAAGTGGGCCTCTGATTAAAATTAAAGAGAATACAATCAGTACCACAGAGAAAGGAGAGGAGACATTTCCTGACCATGGCTGGAGGAAATTCCAGAAACATTCTCTTTCCAGTTTTCTCCTTTCACAGATTGGGGGTGGGTGGGTGGGTGGGGAGACATTCACAGCTTAATGACTAGGTCAAGGCAAAGCAGGAATCAGAAGCAGCATTTCTTGCCTCAAGCTTGGTTCCCGGCAAAGAAAAGATTCTGAGCAGGAACCAATAACCTCTTTTACTCTGAGTGACACTGGCTACGCTGGCAAACCCAAGACACAGACTGAGTTGGAAAAGGAAGTAAAAGAACAGAAGGGATACAGAAAAAGTGGGAATAAAAAAAGGTTTCATCTGTGCCCCAATGTATCATTTTCTAATATACTCTTTTTTTGGTACCAGGGATCGAACTCAGGATCTTGTGCTTGTGAGGCAGGCACAGTGCCACTGAGCTAAATCCCCAGTCCTCTAATATAGTCTTTTTAGTACCGGGGATTGAACTTGGGACCCTGCACTTGCGAGGCAGTTGGAGGAACCACTGAGCTAAATCCCCAGCCCCTGTGATATACTCTTGTAAGTAAGTTTAAGCTTACTGTCTGCTCAAACAATTCTTTCTAGGTGACTTCTATTACCACTATCAGCAGCAATTCAACATATAGGCAATAATTAAGAGAATATAGGCAATAATTAAGCCCTACTAGTTATACTAGTTATGAATAGTTCCCTTGTTTAGAGAGGTAGAATAAAGAAAGGAAGGGCCAGGGAGATTTAGCTCAGTGGTTCTGTTGCCTGCCCTGCAAGCGCAAGGACCAAGTTCGATCCCCGGTGCCAAAAAGAAAAAGAAAAAAAAAAAAAAAAAGAAAGGCAGGCCAAGGAGAAGTTAAAGAGAAACCTGCATTCTGAACTAAGAGTTTGGCCTTGGGGGGGTGTAATCAAAACATTAAAAAGTTCATAGGAATTGCAGAATTCCCGTCTGGCTTTTACTCATAGCCTAACAGGGAACAATGAAACATACAAACACAATGAAAGCCAAAATAGGAATATAAATATACAACTGAATCCATATATGGTTAGATAAATATACTATGATAGATAGGATCAAACTTGCGACCTGGCACTTGTGAGGCAGGTGCCGGACTCACTGAGCTAAATCCCCGGCCAAGAATAGATATATGCTCACAGGAAAAAACAAACTTGAAAATCCATTAGGTAAAGTCTGCTATGTATTTGGTAATTACCTGTTCAAATGACATGCCACCTGAATCAGGGGCAATAGATAAAGAATACTTTCTGACACCATCTCCCCAGTATCAAAATATAAAGCATGCTTTTTTTTTTTCCTTTTCTTTTCACATTTTGGTATAATTTAATAAACAACTCTTTAGGTATTACTGCTTATGTCTGAATTTTGTTTGTGTTTTTGTCCTTCTGAGTCATTGGTCTTCTTTTTGTTCTGGTTCCTATTTTTCACATTGTGTGTTTCATAGTAGCGTACACCAACTTTTTTGGATTGCTGCTGCCATGCTGCTCGCCTTCGTTCCTTAGATGTAAGCATCCTTTGAGTTTTACCTGACTGTTCCTCTTCCCTTTGTGCCTTCCGCTTCCTTCCCTTTTTAGTACATGCTGTTTCATTTACTTCTTCTTCTTTAGGTGTTTCTTTTCATTCTTCAGACTTTGCAAAAACCTTTTCACTTAACCCCTTGGATATCCTGACTGCTGATAACTTTTTAGCCTTGGCTTTGTTTAAAAACTTCTGGTATTTTGCAATCTTGTCATCCAGGGCTTTTATCACTGCTTTGGTGTCGTTTCCCACTTGCTCTTCTTGGGACTCCTGATGAGCCTCTTCCTTGACATCTGGTTGGTCCTGCTGCTGCTCCTCCTCAGAAGCAGAAAAGCTCTCCAGCTCTTCCTCGATGTCTGACACCTCTACAGGAACCAGGTCATCCCCAGAAAACTGGGGCACTACACTGATTTTGCCGAAGTTCTGTCAAACCCGTGCAAGGATCTGCCGCATTTCAGAGTTAGCATCACAGGGACAGTCCTCTTCTTTTTCTTTCTCAATGACAGATTCTGAAACTTCACCTATGGTCTCTGCAGTCTCTTCCAAGTTATTCTGGGTTGTTTCGGTAGCATCTTCCAAAGATGAGGAAGGAGGAAGCTGGGGGGTTGCAGGTGCCGCTGCCTTGGGTGGTTTGACAAAGAAAGGGATCTGGCCCCGCTGCCAGTCATTAAGGACCATCTTGCCCACAGTCTGTAAGTCAAGGCTCTCCACCCTTTAATAATTTCCCAGTGCAGAAAGCAAGCTTCTCAAGAAAGTCCTCAGCATTCTCCCATGAATCAATCTTGTATGTTTTACTGATATATTCTGGTTTTGCTCGTTCTAGGACAGCACCAATGTGGTCTTCAGGAGACTTAATTTTTTCAACTTGAACAACTCCTTTCAGCACAATGTCTGTCTCTGAGTCCTCAGAGGGGCAAACCACACCTGGACAGTCAGTGAGGAATAGCTGACGCATCAAGGTGATATACTGCCAGACCTTTGTTTCACCTGCAATGCGGGGGGCCACGTTGCAAACTTTCTTGGAACGCAATGTGTTGATCACGGAGCTCTTGCCAACATTTGGATAGCTGATGAAGCCAACGCTGATCTGTTTCTTGTCAGTGTGCAACTTTCCAAACTGCGGCAGAAGCTGAATAAATAAATGCTCCTTTGCCAAAGGGGTTAGTAAGACTCACATGGAAAGCAAGTGTCAGATACTCCTGGGAGAGGACAGCAACCCATCGTTTTGTTGCCCAGGTTGGAACAAGGTCACATTTGTTCAGTACAAAAATAAGATGCTTCCAGGGTTTTTCCTTTTTCAAGTAAGCCTCAATGTGGGGGGAATGGGTACCCATTGGATCTCTAGCATCAAGAACTTGGACTACAACATCTGATGAATCTATCACCTTGTAGAGCTCACCCATATTCTTTTGGACTGTCCTTTCTTATATATCTCTTCTTGGGCTTCATTTCTCACACCAGTGTCTTCGGTTACCAAATCGCGATCCGTGCCCTGGTCATAGCTCTCAGTGGATATCTCAGCTTTTTCTATCAGTGACTGCATATCACTCACAAACAAATTTGGCCGCTTTCTCTGTGACTTAGGACCAAACGTAGTTTCAAAACTTTCGGTGTCAAGAATGTGCAACTTGGAGTTATGAGGCTGGATTCGGTCATGGAGAAGAGACACTGGTAACTTGCTTTGCTTCATGACAACTTTATATGGATCCTTCAGAACTGTATCCATTTCCTCTTGAAATTTCTGTAATGAAGACTGCTTAATCACACGTGTGGTTCCAAACCATTTAATATTTGGCTCTACTCGTGCCACTGTGCCAGAAGCCACTGTTGATTGATACTGCAGAGGCTTAATCACTTTACCACGACTATTCCTGTGCTCCTTTTGCCTATACATGTTTAGGCGCCGGATTATAGCCCAGTCCCTCAAGTTTTGTCCTCCTGCTCCCTGTACTCAATCCGGGTTGGTGCTGGACTTGGAGGGGTTGATGGTGCTCCGTCCTTTGTACTTGGGCTTCACCATCTTGCCGATGGGACAATGACCGGTCTGGCTTACTGGGTAAACGAGCTCGGAACTTCCCCGGCCCAGCCAAAGTGACAAAAGCATGCTTTTCTTAATGACAGCTTTAACTAATAGGGTGTTTAGAAATAAAGTCTGGGGACATTTCAAGTTTCAGTTCTTAGAACCCTTAGGAATGGCCCTTGGGAAGAAAGTGTTCAAATGTGAAGGGGAACAAGGGAGGAGGGAGGGACAAGGGGACAAGAAAAAGTGAAAACAGAAGGAAAGAATGGAAACAAAGCTTTTTGTACACAGGGAGGGGAGGGGGTTTGGAGTGGAGTGACTCATTTATTTTAAAGTGGTCAATGCGTAAGAATTCAAGAACAACTGAAAACTGCAGTCACTTAAAATGTTCTATCTTCCCAGCCTACTAATCTCTCTGGACCATCATTAAAAAATAAATAAATAAACAAACAACACACAGAGGATGGTGACTATGACAATGTTTCCACCAAGAGTGATACTTTTCAAACTTTCATAAGAATTCATAAATTTAATTTTCTCAGAAGCCCCCTCTCTGTCTTACTTTTATGAAAAATCTTCAAATATAATCTGAAGTAGAAAGTACGGTAAAACAAACCCCTGCATCATATCCTGCTTCAATGCCCACCAACATACTGCCAATCTTTGTTCACATACAGACTTCCCTATGCCCCCAAAATATCAATACATACTTCTCCATCCTCCCCCAATTTTTTTTTTTGGTACTGGGGATCAAACTCAGGACCTTGCGCTTACGAGGCAGGCGGCGGCACTGCTGAGCTAAATCCCCAGACCAATCCTCCCCAAATATTACTTTGAAGCAAAACATACAACTTATATTTAAATTCCAAATGGGAATGGGGTAAAATAAAATTTAATAAAATTAAAAAAAAAAAGGATGACCCGTGGGAAAGCTGTTCACTTTAATAAACTTATTTCATTCAAGTACCTACACATATTATCTGAATCGAAATGTCCTGAATCTGAGAAGAACAAAAATGGATGTTTTCAACAGCCCAGCAGAATTCATTAGGTGCTTTATGGCTGAGAATTTGTGCTTAGAAATAAAGCTTTTATATAAAGTCTGTATTTTATTTAAACCACTACTTTCAAGATTCTAGTTAGTTTAACTCAATGATTAACTCCAAGGATTAATCCACAGGAAGGTACCATGTAAAGCGCCACCCAGAAGGAGGTCAAGCTGCTGCACTGTTCTTCCTTACCTTTCTTCCATAAAGACACTGGTAGAAGATTACACCCACTGACCAGACATCCACTTTATTTGAGATCTTTGGTGGTTCTTTCCCAACCACAAAACACTCTGGTGGTAAGTACCTGAGAAAAGAAATAAGAATTCTTGGAAAAATGAATATATAAATACAAGATACAAAAAAGAAAAATAAAAGACCTTGTTGAAATCTGAATTTTAACAGTCGACTTAGAAATACATTAGTCATTGAAAAGACATTATAAAGGAAGTGGTACTATTCTATTGGGCATTAAAACACACTTCTCAATTCAGAGGTAAATACTGTGCCTAATCCAAGTATTACTAAAGGTTTTTTGTTTTTGTGGTGCCAGGAATTAAACCCAATAGCTTCATCAACAAGTGCTGAAATTTAACTATGTTGCCTAAGGATGTCTTGAAAACTCAGTGTTTTGGGGTCCCCCCACCTTTGGTGCTGGGAATTGCACCCAGGGCCTCCACTGAGCTTCATCCCCAACCCCTAAAATTAATCAATGTTTTAGTCCAAATGAATTCAGGACCCAGTACAGATCTCTGACAGGAAAGGCTATATTGCCATTTTAAAGTAGCTTCTTTGGAAATCCTGACCTGAAATAACTCCAATATAAAGTCAAGGGTGATATTAAAGTCTAAATTATCAGAAGATATTTTATAATATGTTTTAAGGGTGATCAGGGCTTACTAAGAAATAAGGCATCCAAAGTCAAACAAACTAGTTAGCACAACTCCATCCTCATCTAAATTCGTTCCCTCCCTCCATTGCTGATTTCCAAAGAAACCAAGAGACAGACCACACCAAATTGTATAGTGTGGAAATAAGTGCCGCTGGGCATTCAGGAAACCAAATAAAACTGCCAGGAGTTCTAGCCTCAGCACAGCTGGAAGGCAGAATTCTGATGATAACAGATCAATGTCTGCAGATTTCATGCTGGCAAAATCCATTCTGTGGAAAGCTATTTTGGACCCCATTGTGCTCCTGGTTTAAAAATCTAAACTTACAAAAACAAAAAAATCTAAACTTACAGCTTGAAGGAACCACAAGAGGTAAGAGCAGAAAATATTCCTTCTCCCATCCACCATCTCTATCAAACATAGTACCACAAGACCACAGTGCCCTGCCACCCACTCTTCTTTGTATTGTGAGACTGGTGTCTATGTTGCCCAGCTGGCATCAAACTGCAGAGCTCAAGAGATCCTCTCACCCTAGCCTCCTAAGTAGCTAGGAACACAGGTGTATGCCACCATGTCTGCCTTTTTCTTAATAACTGTTTCATAGTTTTCTTATTTTTCTTAGCAGATGTTCTTGAGTGACTAAGACTTTGACTAGATTATTTCACAATAAAAATATTTTAGGTGAAACACACACTGGGGGATAGCTCTGTAGTAGAATGTGTACTTAGAAAGCACAAGGCTCCAGGTTTGATCCTCAGCACTAAAGAAAACAAAAACCAAACCAGACCAACCAAACAAAAACAACTCATACTAAAAAGTACAGATTTAGAACTAAGAAGGATAAAAGGGAAATTTAAAAAATATAGAAAAAAGAAAAAACATTATAAGAAGAACAACTCTTTAAATATATTCTTTTTTGGTAAGGGGGATCAAACTCAGGACCTTGTGCTTGCGAGGCAGGAGTTGGAACCACTGAGCTAAATCCCTAGCCCAACAACAACTCTAAAAAAAAAAGAACAACTCTTTCAAGCACCAGTAAAACCTCTCTGGACCTTAGTCTTCACAGTTTCTGATTATTTAACATATATAAAATAAATATAATCTTGGATAAAGAGCAAATATAACCTTGATTCTAAAATGACCATTTTGGCTGGGCATGGTGGCATATGCCTATAATTCCAGCACCCAGGAGGCTGAGGCAGGAGGATCTCCATGAGTGTGAGGCCAGCTCAGGCTACATAGTGAGTTTTTTTTTTTTCTTCTGATACCGGGGATCGAATTAAGGACCTTGCTCTTGTGCGGCAGGCGTGGAACCAATGAACTAAATCCCCTGCCCTATATAGTGAGTTTGAGGGCAGCCTGAACTACATAGCAAGATCCTGTCTCAAAAAAAAAAAAACATTTTAATGCATTTGTTACTTTTAGCAAGATTTTTAGAATATAAAAGACACTATTAAATTCACAGTACAAGTCTGGTAAATCACCTTCTTAGTTTCTAATCTGTAAATGAAGAAATAAAAACGAGTTCATTACCCAAATAATACTAAACACAACAAGTGCCTGCAATTCCTATCAAGGGCTTTGAGAGTGAAAGTGAAAGAGTTCTATGATACTACACTAAACTGTGTTAAAACAAAAACCAAAAAAACTCACAATTGCATTTCCAGCATAATAAAAGTCCTCAATAGAAGAAATGATGTTCAAGACATAGTTTGTGACTCATTTATTTTGAAGTAGTCAATGCATAAGAATTCAAGAACAACTGAAAACTGCAGTCATTTAAAATGTTCTATCTTCCCAGCCTATTAATTTCTCTGGACCATCATTAAAAAAAAAACAAAAAAAAACACACACAGAGGATGGTGACTATGACAATGTTTCCATCAAGAGTGATACTTTTCAAACTTTCGTAAGAATTCATAAATTTAATTTTCTTAGAAGTTCCCTCTCTATCTTACTTTTTTTTTGTTTTTTTTTTGGTACCGGGGATCGAACTCAGGTCCTTCCACTTGGGAGGTAGGTGGCTATCTTACTTTTATGAAAAATCTTCAAATATAATGTGAAGTAGAAAGTACAGTAACACAAACCCCTGCATCATCGTGCTTCAATGCCCACCACCATACAGCCAATCTTTGTTCACATGCATACTTCCCTATGCCCCCCAAATATCAATACACTTCTCCATCCTCCCCAAATATTACTCTGAAGCAAAACATACAACTTTTATTTAAATTCCAAATGCTAAATTGTTATTTCTAGGCAAACAGAGCATTAAGTAGCAATGAGATAACTGTTTAAAACATGAAAAAACTGCACCTTTAAAAAAGAACAAGCAAAAAAAACCAGAACAAGCTATTAAACATAAAGTTCAAATTCAAGTCCCAGTTAATTTATACAGAAGACACATAGAACTGTTTCTCAACTTTCCAACAGCAGATATTTTTGCATCACTTAGTGACAGGGACACTAACCCACAATAACTACCACAGTGAATAAACACTGTAAATGTAGCTTCTATTTTAAACCTAGAATTTCAAAGCTTTAATTTAGGGACTGACTTTTTACTATCGGTACCATCTCTACCAAGTAATAAGGAGCAACAGAAAGCAGAGTTTTGTGCACAGGGGTGTTATTAGCAGGATCAACTGAAGAGAACAAGCCTTATGTTGCATGTTTCAAATGGCCTGCCCCATTGCCTGTCTGCTTTCTCAAGTCCCTCGTTCCTAGTAGTCAGTATTCTGTAGTAAGGGACCCCAGTCCCAAAAGTAAACAATCTGACCCCCTGAACATGGAGAACCTCTCCATCAGTTCTAAGGAGACTTTTCCAAGTTGAGAATCACATATATGTGGCTTTTAACTACCTCAGAAGGGAAAAGACAGCTTTGTTAACACACTTTAACATCCCAAAGTTTAATGCTTTGGCCCCAGATATATTTTATGGTTCTGTCAAAAGTAATAGTAGGGGGGGACATAATAATAGGCAGAAACAGGAGAGATTATAGAACTGGTGGCACAGCCAGCCGGGTAGGGTGGTTGGGGGAAGACAAGTGACAGAAGATTGTGGCGTGCCTCAAAACCTCTTAGAACATGGCTAACAGACATGGATAAACTTCTGGTAAACTGTGCTCACTTTTTCCTGTATAGATTTCATGGGATGCTGTGGGGGTTTTTTCCATCCTGATCTTCACAACTCCTTAATTCTTGAGAGTCCATCATCCTCAGGCAATTCTAGAAACAAACCCCTCATCACACTAACCCATGAAGAGAGGGACTCTGATTTGTACTGAAAAGAATTCGGAGCCATTATTTACACACACCACATGAGCAACCACATTCTCTACTTATTTGTATGGCCAGCCCTGTGGAGGAAACATACAACTCAAAGACCTGGCCAGACATAAACTCTTTCTCTCTAGGGTTTTCAAGAGAGGAAGAGAGGAAAAAAAAAAAAAAGACATATTAATACAAAGAGTCAAAATGCTAAAAAGATGGCTAATATAATACTTTTGCTCTGGGATATAATATATAGAAATTAATCATTAATTACCAATGCTTCAGTATAGCACAGCTGGATCTCCACCAGCCAACCTAGCAGACCTCCTGGATACCTACCAATAAGTACCAGCACCTTGTGATGTTAGCTCCATGCCATCCACTGAATTGTAGCTATCATCATCCATGATTTTGGAAAGACCAAAATCTGTAATTTTTATTTCTCCACACGCTGTACCATTTACTAAAAGAATATTACCTAAAAAGATAAAAATCTTCATGAATAAGCAGACTTAGTAAGAGAAAAATCCAATGTAATAAGAAGGGAAGAACTGAACTCAATTCTATTTTTTTTGGTACCGAGGATTGAACTCAGGTCCTTGCACTTGGCACAGCAGGTGGCGAAACCACTGAGCTAAATCCCTGGCCCTGGACTCAATTCTTGATTCCATCCATCCATCCATCCATCCATCCATCCATCCATCCATCCATCTATTGGTACCAGGGATTGAACTCAGGTCCATGCGCTTGCACAGCAGGCGGTGAAACCACTGAGCTAAATCCCCGACCCTGGACTCAATTCTTAAATGCAAAAACAACCACACAACTCTTTGAAATAAAGCCATCTAACTCTAGATGCTGCAGAGTCCTCTGTGTCTGCTGGAAACTTCTGTTTTCCAAGAATCACCTGCTTAATGTGCCCAAACTACTACTATGAATTTTGGAAATAAAAATAAGTTCCCAAAGTAAAATATCACTTGCACAGTTGGTAGAAAATGATGCAAACATTTCATTTGACCTTTTGGTGAAATCTCTAAACTACCTTGTTTACACCAGTAATTGGGGTGGCATCAAAGGAAATAAGCAAAGAAATCAAAGCTAGTACCACAGTGCCACCTACAGCTCATATGGCAATAAAGTGTGTTGAATTCAATGATGGAAAACCTGATTAACCAATCAATAGCCATCCTTTAAAAAAAAAATTGTTTCATTATAATTAATTTTTCACTCATCTGAATTATGTCAGAACATTAAAGAATAATACACAGATTTAATATGTAGCCACCAAAAAACAAAACAAAAAAATGATAAGCAGCCATCAGAAGAGTAAAGCAAAATTAGCAATTTTGCTGCACCATAAGGTAACTGGGAACCATCTTCCTAATAACCAAACTAAGCTGGTTAGAGCTGTGCACATGGAATGTACAGACTCCTGAAAGATGGGTGGAGATAACAACAAAAAATAGAGGTAAAAAGTGTACCTACCTTCTACTCTTCAGTGATGACTATCAAAGCTAAGTGATAACCATTAAAAAAAGATGAAAAATTCTGCTCAAAATTTAAGGAATTAGGTATATGTTCAAGGCAAGTTGTTAATTTGGGGCACCTATCAAAGCAACTTGGAGCAGAGGACTTGCTATACAGTGTGAGTAATGGGAATAATAAAACTGAACTTGCTAGAACAGTTCTTCTGTAACAGCACTGACATCATAAACTGCCCTGGCTCTGCAGACAAAAGCACTGTTTCTCCAGAGTGTTTAATCTGACCCACCCTCCTAACCCAGAGCTGTGCAGCAAGAATTCCTTTCTTCCCACATCTACCCAGGCAAGGCTACTAGCCCTTCTTAGCTTCTGTAAAATTCTGGTAATTTTATGAAATTAAAAGTTACTTGGAAGACTGAAAAGCTACTATACTGTCTTTTAAAAGTTAGACATACCTGGTTTGAGGTCATAGTGTATGATGGGAGGTTTTATTTCATTTAAGTACTTTAAAGCATTCACAATCTGCATGATAATGGATCGGGCTTCTTTCTCCGACATTAATTTGTGCTGTTTCAGGTAGAAGTCCAGATCATTTCCCTCACAGTACTCTAATACTGTACAAAACCTAAAGACAAATTAAACCATCATTTAACCATCAACAAGAACAAACAGATTAAGACTATCTAAACCAATCCCAGTGAAAATTTTAGATAATTAGCTTCTCCTTTCCTCTTCCTTAAATCAGTCTTCTACTATTCTTTACTTATTGTCAGCTGAGTAAATTTTTTGTTTAGTTTTGTTTTTTGTACTAATTACTTGGCAGGACTTGAATGTGCTACTATACCCATTTACCTCAGTAGTTTACAGAAGAAAAGTGCTTGCTCTTTTGGAGAAGTCTTCACACCCTCCATGGTGGCATGGGCCATAACAAAGTTCATCTTGGCCTACCTCTTTCTTGAACTAGACTCTAAGAATACTGACAAGAACTATAATGCACACTAACTAGATGTCTTCTTGGAAGGATCGCCTTTACAAACCTACATATTGTACCCATTTCTAAACAACCATATTGTGATCAGGCACACAATTCTCACCATAAACATTTTATGTAAACTTTTTTTGTTTTGTTTTATTTTTTTTGATACCGGGGATCAAACTCAGGTCCTTGCGCTTGCAAGGCAGGTGGTGGAACAACTGAGCTAAATCCCCAGCCCACATTTTATGTAACTTTGAGTGCTGAGACTGAAAAAGAATCTAGCGTTTGGGCTGGGGATTCAGCTCAGTGGCAGCGCACCTGCCTTGCAAGCACAAAGTCCTGAGTTTGATCTCAGGTACCAAAAAAAAATAATAATAACCTAGAGTTTGCCCAGGTTCTAAGAACTAGTTGTATACTTCTGTCCTGACAGTATGACACAATACTGCACAAATGTGTTACTTCATTGTATGGGGGGCGGTGTCTTCTTCATTTATGTCAACATATCATATAGCCCCACATTTAAAACTACACACCACTGGTGGCATTACAGGTCATGTGTCTATTAGCCAAGCTATTATAAATTGAAATAAACCTTCATCCCTGAGATGAATACCTTTTTTTTTTTTTTGGTACTGGGGATCAAACTCGGGACCTTGCGCTAGTAAGGCAGGCGGTGGAACCACTGAGCTAAACCCCCGGCCCAATACCTTCTGACTACTCCAAGTTGAGACAATGTGGGTCTATGAGTCAGTATAACCAGGAAATAAAAATCATTTGAATATCTTTTTTTTCCTCCTGGTACTGGGAATCAAACTCAGGACCTTGTGCTGGCCAGACAGGCATAGCACCACTGAGCTAAATCCCGGCCCTAAAAATCATTTGACTAAGATAAGAGAGGGAGCTTTAATTCAGGATAAGATGATGGATGAGCTGAGAAGACAAACCAGCCAGTGAGGCACCCCTGTGATCATCTACAGCAGGAAGCCATTAGCACCCTAAGGCCAGAGGTTCAGAGGGAAGAGATGGAGCAATCAGAATCCAGGCTCACCAGGGGAAATTGGAACTGGGGCGGGGTGAGGTGCATATGAGCTGAGCACATGAACCCATTTACACACACACACACTCCACATGCCTGAATTTAGCTGGACACCAACTGACAAGCATGGTAAGCACAGTGTACTAGAGGAGTCAACCACCTCCACCTCCTCTAGATGTACAGCAGGGAAGGCTGAGGAACAGAGAGCAAGCAGGCTCAGGCCTAGTGCTGCAGGCCTCTGGGCAACAAGTGCCTTTGAAAAGCATTGCAACTGACTGTGAACAAACATGGTCCTGTAATCCTAAACCTGAACAATAGTTTATGGTTATGAAACATAGCAGGACATGTTAGCGCTGTACTTGATTTATTCTGAGGGTTTTTTTCATTTGGTTTTTTGAGACAGGATCTTGCTATGTAGTTTAGGCTGGCCTTGGATGTACAACCATCCTCCTACCTCAGCCTCCCCTGGGGATTATAGGCGTGTGTGCCACCAAGCCCAGCTTGCTAGCACTGTTCTTGAGAATAACTGTCTGATCTGAGATGCTGAAATCTGAGACAGGCTCTCATGTTCAGTGGACTGATTCTTTGGCCCAAATGCAAGCTAGAAATAAAATCTCAAAAGAATAAAAACCCAAACAAGTCTCAGAAGACATTCTAAAACAATGGTCTGATGTATTTTTGGTGAAAATTCATCATGTATACAATAGAAAGAACAAAATATATAGAAACATTTCAATTTATCATATTAGTGAAAAGTATGTATATAATTGAAAATAGCAGATAATCCAAGTCATTATATCTATTTTGAAATAGTTTTAGCACTTACATTTCAGAGTGGGGTCTAACCTAGTATTCAAGGAATCTAATCAAAGCAAAAGAGTGACACTATCCTGTGGAGACCTTCCTCGGTTATCCCGTTCTTGCCCTCTAACTAGATTATTTTTCTAAATTCTACTCCATGCAAAACATACATGGCTATGCCTAGTACAAAGGGCTCCTTAATAAAAAGGGAAAATCGTGAGCAGATGGAAGAGAGGACATGTCATTTCAAAAAGGAATATGGTCTTTTTGAAGCATTTCTAAATGTGGGCCTGTTGTCTGTGTAGCCATCTGAGAGAGCTACTGGATGAACAGATCAAAACTCCTAGATCACCCTAAGAGGCTGCAGGGACATCTGCAGGCCACATCTATGATACAGTATTTTCTCCTGACTTAGGCCAGACTCCTATGGAGAAATATTTTCTAAATGCTGAAGTATCTCTAAACTCCTGGATAAGCCCAGAGGCTCTAAAATTTACTTATCTATACCAGGCAACAATGTAAAAGATGATCAAAGATTTCACATAAGTCACTTCACCTTGTTTGTCCTCAAAATCTACCTGTATAATAAGAAGGCCGAACTCTGTGATCCCTTTCAATTCTGGAATCCTGTAAGTCTATAAACTTACATTTCAGCCTGCAGCACTGAACACTGCCTTTGACCCCTTGCTCCAGACAGTGATGGTGAACCTTTTAGAGCTTTCAATGATACAAACAGCCCACCGTGGCACGAATGCCATAGGTTCACCGTCACTGCTCTAGGACAATATCACATTCCTGGTACTTTCCTAAGGCCCTGCAGAGTTCATTAGAGTCTCTAGAGTGGAGCAGAATCTTTTGAACAGTCACTGGGCCATGTCAGTGGAATACTGGCACTAACTTGTGCCAATTCCCACGAACTGTCTAATACATTTTCAGGAATTTTATCAGCTGGTTATTACAGTATTTGTAGGACAAATGGATAAGCACAATGTGGTAAATCTATACAAGAGTATTTTTTTTTCGAGTAGCAAAGTTTTATTAAAGATAGGAAAAGAAACAGGCTCTGCAGAGCGAGTTTGGGCCAAGTAAACGTAGGAAAAAAAGTACACCCTATAGCATGAGGGGAGGCCACCATGGAAGAGCAAGACACAGTGGCCCATCAGAGTATTACTTGGTCATAAAAAGAAATGAAGCACTGATACATGCACTACAACACAGAAGAATATATATATATATATATTTTTTTTTTGGTACTGAGGACACTGAGCTACATCCCCAGCCCTTTTTTATTTTTTATTTTGAGACAAGGGCTCATTAAGTCACTAAGTTGCCCAGGTTAGGTTTGAACTTGTGATCCTCCAGCCTCAGCCTCCCAGAGTCCTGGGATTACAAGAGTGCACCACTATGACCAGCTCAAAAGAGATATTTGTACACCTATGTTCACAGCAGCATTATTCACAGTAGCCACAGACAGAAACAACCCAAGTATCCATTGGTGGGAGTATGGATGAACCTAGATGAACCTTATAAACACTATAACAAGTGAAAAAAGCCAGTCACAGAGAACCATACACTATGTGATTCTATTTATGTGAAAATCCAAAATGGGAAATCTATAGAGACAGAAAGCCGTAATTGCTTAGGGCTGAGGGAAAGGGTTAAGGTGGGTGGTAAAACAGGAAAGCAGTGAAAGTATAGGTTTCTTCTGAGGTTGTGCAATGGGTGAGTCATATGGTATATGAATTATTTACAATTCAATATAGCCTTTAAAAAGTTAATAGCTCAAACCTGGTCATGTGAGTATTTATAACACGGAAACTGGCAAACACTACAAATCAGCTTGTACCTAGCTTTTAACTAAGCTTACAGTTAAAACATTTTCAGCACAAAGAATATGTCCTTCGGCCTAGAGATGTATGGCTAATCCCAAACTCAATTTATCTATGATCATTTGCTGATAAATTAATATATGTGTACTTCCTTCAGAGGGTATGTCCTGGACCCAGATTTAAATTCTACTGTATAAACACTCAACACCTTAATAAAATAAAATAAAATGGCATAGTACTTACGAGTCAGTGTCCAGTGAAAAGTAATCATACAGCTTAACTATTCTGGGATGATCTAATTCTTTGTGAATACGGTATTCCCTACATGCATGCCTGTAAACAAAATGGGAAAATTAACAAGAAGGCATATTAGCTTCTTTTTAAAAAAAACTCTTCAAAACTACTTCAAGATAGTCTCCACCACTTCCACATGTTCACTTCATTCAGGTCCATCTGGACCTCCGATCTAATTTTTCTCTTTCCTCATCCTATTTTCTTTGTTGGCATTTACCTAGCCATTGAGGAAGTAGTAGGTGTTCAAATATTCATTAAATGGATGCCAACCTTTTACCCTTTTCAAGTTCTTTCTATGACAAGCATACCTCTTTTATGTGTATACCCAAATATCAAAGATTAAAAAATTACAAAGCCTTTTCCCTCTTCTCTAAAGCTGATACTTCAAAACTGTACATACTTCATAGTTGTAGTTTCTATCCTAAGATTACATCAAAAAGGTCAAATTTAGCTTGTAAACTACATGGATTAAGGGATTACCTGATACATAAATCAATTGGTAATACTCAGATTTTTCGTTTAAAATCTTACTTCTTACATTTAAAGTGCTATCACCTTTCCTTTGTTCTAAGAATATATGAAATTTACAGAAAATATTAAGTTAAGAAAATTCCACTTTTCTTACAACAGAGAATGTAAATGTATGTACAGTCAACTCACCATATTTATGGATTCAATCTACCATGGATAGAAAACATTCAGGAAAAAAAATTATCTGTACTGAACACAGACTTTTAAAACTATTCACATAGTAATTTATTGTATTAAGTATTTTAAGTACTCTAGAAGAGATGATTTAAAGTATGTGAAAGGGCCGGATATGGTGGTGCAGCACTCGGGAAGCTGAGGAAGGCGGATCACCAGGCATTTGAGGCCAGCCTGCGCTACATAGAGTAAGTTCAAAGCCAGCCTAAACTGCATAGTGAGACCCTGTCTAAAAAACAAAACCAAAAAAAACACCCCCTACCCCAAAAAATATATGGGAAGATGTGCATAGGTTATTTGTAAATACTCTGTCATTTTATATGAGACTTGAGCATCTGTAGATTTCTGTGTCTGTGGGGGTCTTGGAATCAACATCCTAAAAATACCGAGTAAGGACTGTATTAGTATCTTTTGTTTAAAGCATTTTTAGTTTAAAATAATTTAGTAAGATTATAAACAGGGCCGGGGATCTAGCTCAGTGGCACCGCGCCTGTCTGGCAAGTGCCAGGTCCTGAGTTCAATTCCCGGTATGGGGGTGGGGAATAATGGTGGTTATAAACAAAAATCCGTTATATTATTTGACATTCATATTTTGAATTTTTAAAGAATTAAAGAGTATGTTTATACAACATAATCACCAATAGCTTTTAAAATATTTCACTCTTACAAAGAGGAACTGGAAAACATTTTAAATAATCTGTAGCATCTTATAGTTTGTAATGTTTTATAAGATAAGAATTAAAAAAGTGAAACTTTAAGGCCAGGCACAATGGAATGTGCTTATATTCCAGCTACTTAGGAGGCTGAGGCATGAGGGTTGCAAGTAGAAGTCAGTATGGGCAACTTAGCAAGATCCTATCGCAAAATAAAATAAAAAGGGCTGGAAATGTAGCTCAGTAGGGCTCTTGCCTAGCTAGCTAACATGACTCTCTGGGTTCCATCCCCAATATGGGGGTACAGGGACCGTTGGACAGTATAATAAAACCTCCCTTTAAAAAAAAAGTGAGGGCTGGGGATTTAGCTCAGTGGTTCCGGCACCTGCCTCACAAGTGCAAGGTTCCAAGTTTGATCCCTGGTATCCCCCCAAAAAAAGTGAGCTGGGCATGGTGACCTATGCCTGTAATCCCAGAACTTGGGAGGCTGAGGCAGGAGGATCACTGTGGTGACATAGTGAGCCTGGGTGACATAGTGAGTGGGTGACATAGTTCAAGGACAGCCTGAACTGCACAGCAAGACCCTGTCTCAAAAACAACGAAACAAAAAGATGTTTTCTGAAATTGGTATGCTCATGTATAATGTATGTTGGGAAATGGGAAGAAAGTGTTCAAATGGGAAGGGGAACAAGGGATGAGCGAGGGAGAAAGAAAGGAAGGGACAAGGAAATAAAGTGAAAATAAAAGGAAAAGCGGAAACAAAGCTTTTGCACATAGGGAGGGGAAGGGGCTTGAGGGGGAGAATGGGATAAAATAAAGTGTATTAATAAAAAACATACATATACACGGAAAATACTCAACTAAAGAAAAGCTGAAGAAAAAATCAGGGAGGAGGGCACTGGTAACTATGGGCTTATTTTTCAAACTGTTACCTTTATCATCTCTGCTTCTTCAGATGCTTCATGTTAACATCATTATCTGGTTATTTTTAGACAGGCCCTCACTATGTAGTCCAGCCCCGAACTCTTGGTGATCCTCCTGCCTCTGCCTCCCAAGTGCTGGGATTACAGGCATGCGACAACATGCTTGGCTTCATCATTTTTTTTCTTTTTTTCTTTTGGGTTTTTTGAGACAGGGTCTCCTGTGTAGTTCAGGCTGCCCCTGAACTCACTATGTAGCCAGGCTGGCCTCAAACTCGTGACAATCCTCCTGCCTTAGCCTTCCAAGTGCTGGGATTCCAAGCGTGCAACACCATGCCCAGAGAGCCATCATTATTTTTTTCTGCAGAGAAAAGATATGCCAACACCAAGGCACAGCAGTGTAAGACACACATTACAAGGGGTGGCTCCTTGAAAGCCAGCTTTCTCCTCAGTGGGTGGGAAGTTTAAAAAGAAGTGTCTTTCTGCAGATGATGAGCACATGCAGCTTTGGCCCAAACCTCCATTTCACCAAAGTACCTTCACAGTTGTCTTTCTTAATATATCAACATTCCATGGAACACTGTATTTGGTGAGGATGCTTAAAAAATAGTTTAGAAACCTATGGACTAAACAGGTCACTTCAAGTCACTTTTGATGGAAGCATGGTTTGTAACTCTGAAATTCTCTGCCCTTCTTTTTGAACTTCTTAATTTTGTGCATTCCAAATAAAAGACTAATTTCTCTATAAAGGTACAGAAAAGAGGAAACTAGGAGCAGGGAAAATTAATAATCAAAGGAAGTATCATGTAAAGTCCTCTTGCCAGCTAAGGGAATTTGCTCAATATCACTAAAAGTTCTCCTTCAACACAGGTCAAGCTCAGAGTCTGGTGCTCATCCTTCCTCAGCAAGGCAATGGCTGAGCTATGTCTCTCATATGTTCAACTTTAATTTGGTAAACAAAGGATTAATATACTATAAATAAGAATTTTAATAAAAAGTGGAAGAAACTCACTGAAGTTACTCTCCTACAGATGGATATAGATTTAGATAATGCTTGCTTTTATCTTAGAAGAGTATAATACACTAATTCATAAACATTTCTGCAGGTAGCTTTATATGAAAATTTTCCTCTGTAGAAGTTTTAATGCATTTTGGGGCATTAAAGAAATCTAACAACATTAATGTTGTCATAAAATAAAGTAAAAATAATACAATCAGTTTACTTTAAATCTGTGAGAAAAGCAACAGAGAAGAGAAAAGGCAGAACAGAATTCAAAATTCATCAAAACAACAACCTTTTATTTTCTGTCAGGTTTTCTTTCTTTCTTTTTTATAACCCACATAAAAAACTTTATTCCAAATGAGACTGGGAAATCATCCTGAAGAATGGAAAAGCAAATAAAAGACCTTACTATGCAAGGTAATAGCATTTTCATATTTTGTCACCACAACACTGAAATCTACTATTTTTTTCAGTATTAGCTTAACAATACTTTTGTATTTGATTATTTATTATCCTTCTGCTGGTGCTGATGACCAGAAACCAATACCTTGAGCACAACAGGCAAGCCTTTCTCCACCACTAGACACTACATCCTCAACACTAAAAATGAATTTTTAAAGCACTCTTCAAAATTTGTTATGTGCCTAATCTAAGCTTTCTTTAAATTTGAAGATGTGATGACACACTGCCCATTCACTATTATCTACAGCCTGAAATTCTTAGTATGACTTCATTTTACTTAGAAAGCAAGATCTTTCAAAGAAAGGTGGAAATGTTGAAGAATTTTCTCACAAGAATGGAGGTCACGAGAATTTTGTACATTCCCTCCCCAGTGTCTGTCAGTTGGGAAATGGCCCCTGGCCAGAGGGCTCCACAGATGGGACTCAGGCTACATAATTCCTCCTCTGATAAAGAAACAGAGCAGGAAGGCACCACTGCCAGCCTGAGCTGGAATGGCAAAGAGCTTAGACAAACCCCTTCAATTTACATGCTGACTATGAAAGACACCCAATTCACACCCACCAGAACTCAAACTGCTCACCAGTTTTGTCAAGGAGGGACACAGGCCTGGCTTCAAACCCTTACTGTTTCAAAAGACGAGATGAACAGACTGTCTTCCTCCACTTATAATAGCATTCAACATTATAGTTCTCTTAAGATCAGCTTCAAAGTTGGATTCTGAGTGCCAGCAAAATATGTACAAATCCCAGCACAGGAATTATGTTCTCAAGGTTGATGACACTTGGACCCTAGCAGAGGCAATTGTTTTAAAGTCGCCAATGCATAGGTAGCTACAGAATTAGCCCCAAGGATAAGCAAAGGGCACTTGTGAAAGGATGTACCAGTCCAACACTCATAGGTACTTTCCCTTTTTTGCTTTGCTTTTTTCTTTGAGGTACTGGGGATCGAGCTCCTGGACCTTGTGCATACTAGGTAAGCTCTACAGCCCCAGGCCACCCTTAAGCCCTCCTCAGAGCCCCAATACAATAGGGACAATTCTCAGTTATAACTGGTCAAAATAACATGTGGTTTCCTTCTCTGAAGTGCTCCTGGCACACGCTGCTGCATGCCATTTGTCGGGACACATCAAGTGACTGGAATGTATTTATAATGTATCTGCTCCTCAGGAGCATCTGGACTGCAGCTGCCTGTCACATAAGATACACAGGCAGGGAGCCATGTGTAAAGCACACATCATCCCTTTTCCTACCTCTGCTAAGCCCTACTTTTTTTTTTTTTTTTTTGGTACCGGGGATCGAACTCAGGTCCTCGCGCTTGCGCAGCAGGCGGCGAAACCACTGAGCTAAATCCCTGGCCCTAGATTTTTTTTTTTTGGATGGGGAGACACAATCTCACTATGTAGCCCAGGCTGACCTCAAACTCTGAGATCCTCCTGCCTCGGCCTTCTGAGCACTGGGATCACAGGCGTGTGCCACCACACCCAGCAGGTGCTTTGTTTCTGTCAAAAGAGGCTGGACTTCTTTCAAGGGCAGGACTGGTCTCATTCAATACTTGCACCCATGATGAGGAAACAAAATTCAGTGCACTTATAGCAAATTTAAGTCTGGGGCTTCCAAAGCAAGTGAGCTATGAACTCTGGTGTTTAGAAACTAAAGTGGGATACAGGCAAAACCTGACAAGAGTGGAATAAAGAAACTCATAGCTGCATATGTAAAACTATTCATTCTAAAGAAACCACTCTCCTAAATCCTTTCATCCCAAGGACAGAGGAGGACTACCACTGACGGCATTCTGAGGAGACAAGCACAGGGAGTAGGACACTGAAAACCAGGAACTTCAGCATGCGCAAACTAATGGAGGCGAGGAGGGTGGTGGTGGTGGTACACTGAGGGGCTAAAAAAAAATCACATATAAGTCCCACCAGGAGCAGCCACGAAACACGTCTCTTCCATAAGGAAATGACTAGAGAAGCAAAGAGCACCCACCCACAGCTTCCCAGGGTCTCTTGACCAAAGGATACTCTTAGTTTCTACAGATAAGCAACAATGGTTTCTGAGGCTTTACTTGTTTATTGTAGCTATTTTTATACACAATGGAAGGGGAAGGAGTTAAAAGTATGGGTTTTAGATTAAGTGAAGTCTGTATTTAAATACCAATTCAACCAATTCTTTTTTTTTTTTTTTGAGGCAGGGTCTTGCTATGTAGTACAGACTGGCCTTAAACTCACTATGTAGCCCAGACTGGCCTCGAACTCAAGGCAATCCTCTTGCCTCAGCCTCCCAAGTGCTGGGATTACAAGGTGTGTGCCACCACGCCCAGCAGCCAACTTTTAAATTACTCAAAATATCAGTTTCTTCATCAGTAAAATGCAGAATATATTCACTCTCCTAAGGCAGGAGGAGGGAGGACTAAATGAAACAAAACCAGTTATCTTTCATCTAAAGCTCTTAGCACACTACTTAAACTACAATTATTACTATTAATTTCGGAAAAATCAGACACTTAATATGACTTACTTGTGGTAATTCTCCTTCTTCTCATCTCTCCAGTTTTTGTTTAACTGGTGAATTTTCACAGCTACATATCTTTGCTCTGTTAGATCAAATGCCTATAAGAAAGGAATAAATTATATTCTAGACAAATGTTAAGAATTATAGGAAACTGATTTGAAGTTTTTACTAACACAAAGTCCAAAATTCTGTTTAAATAAATATTGTATTAAATAAAAACAGCAGCAAGCAAGAGCATAACACGTATTTGCTTCAGTGTTGCAACAATCTTGAAACTCGTGATTAGATAATTTAGAAGTCTCCAGACACACTGGCACCAAAGGGTTTAGAGAACAAACCCAAGCATATACCACAAACACAGAACTAGCCCATGCCTTTACAGCCTCTTCCCAACAATGCTCCTTCTGGAGTGTCATCTGTCCTCATGTGAGACCTTTTTCTGTTACACTGTTTCTTGTCCTTCAGCTGACACGGGGACTTCATGAGATAAGTCTTATACTTTTGAAACCTTCACGTCATACACTGCTTGCCTCCTGGAGAAAATAACCTCTCAAGCCACATCTCTTTGGTAATTTACAAAATAACTCTATGATTTTTGTGTATTGTGTTTATTAAAATACAAACAGAAAGAAAAACAAAAAAGTCCTGTCTTTAGCCCCATTCCTATATGGTGGTTTAATGAAAAGGGTTTTAATCACAATGGCCAAAATTAGCCACATAAAAACTTCTCTAGCACAATCTAGAAAAATGGACAAATTTTTCCCAAAGACCACTTCCAGCATGTCCTGCATCAGCAAGGCACTGCTATGTGAAAAAGGTTAACAGAAAAAAAAAAAAAGCAAGAATGAAAAAGGTTAACAGGTTTTTGAAGAACTTGGGAATAAATCACAATTTGATAAAGTACTGCTCTTAACACAATAGATTTCTTCCACAAGAAACAGACATCTGTTAAGGGGAGGAAATGACTAAGGTTATGGATTTGTTTCAATCTAGATGAAAGATTTTTCTATAAAAATTAAATTACCAAAATTGACATAAAAAGGAGAAAATCTGAACAGACCAGATCTATAGAAAGAACTGAAAAGATAGTCAAAATTTTCTTCTAAAATGGTACCTATCTAGGTGGTTTTAATTAGTCAGCTAAGCCAGGCCTGGGGGTACATGCCTATAATTCCAGCATTTGGGAGGCTGAAGCAGGAGGATTGCTGCAAGTTCCAGGCCAGCCTGGGTTATTAGTGAGTTCAAGGCCAATGTGAACTACATAGTGAGACCTTGTCTCAAAAAAGAAACCAAATAAATACATAAAAATAGTAAGTCAGCTAAACAAACTTTCAAGGAGCCACTAATTCCCTGGTTAAATGTAAAGGTTAAAGCACAGAAAAAGAGAAATTTCACAGCTCATTCTAAGGAGCTAGGATAACTAGGATATGAAAACTCCATGAGGCTGTGTGCAAAGGATGACTAGACAGGCTTAGATTTATGAGCATAGAATAAAATACTAGAAACAAAACCAGTGGTGTACTAAAAAAAATCACATTATAGTTCTGGATAGTGGTGACAGTTGCACAACACTGTGAATGTACTTAATGGTACTATATTGTACACTTAATGGTTAAAGAGGTAAATTATAAATATATACACAGGGGCTGGGGATTCAGCTCAGTGGCACCACACCTGCCTCTCAAGCGAAAGAGTTCGATCCCCAGTACCAAAAAAATAAATACACATACATCACATATATATTCATAATGAAAATTAACATTTAAAAAAGAAAAACATTCAAAATTAAAAAGAAAAAATAGAATTAGTTTTTTACTTGTTTTATTCTGACATGAAAACAATTTGTCCTACTCAAAACATTTCTCAAATATACAGTCATATGGGCAGTAATTCTTTGTCTGAAGAACAGCTGGCAAAAATTTTTTCCCACACTGTAGGCTGTCTCTTCACTTTGTTGGTAACTTCTCTTGCTATGCAAAAACTTTTTAATAAGATAAGATCCCAGTTGTTAATTCTTTTTGATATTTCCTGTGCAACTGGAGTTTTGTTCATAAAGTCTTTGCCTACATCAGTGTCTTCAAGAGTTCTACCTACTCTCTCTTCCAGTAGATCTACTGTTTCTGTTGTAATATTTAGATCTTGGATCCATTTCGATTTCAGTTTAGTGCATGGTGAAAGATTTGGGTCTAGTTTTAATCCCTGGCACATGGAAAGCCAGTTTTTCCAGCACCATCTATTAAAGACTACTATTTAGAATATATAAAGAACTCAAAAAATCAGACCCCCTAAATTTAAAGACCCAATTCAAAAATGGGAATCTGAAATTAACAGACATTTCTCAGATGAAGAAGTACAAATGGCAAGTAAATATATGAAGAAATGTTCAACATCACTGGTCATTTGGAGAGATGCAAATTAAAACAACACTGAGATACCACCTCACTCCAGAAAGAATGGCTGCTATCAAGAAATCAACCAACAACAAATGCTGGCAAGGCTGTGGGGAAAAAGGAACCCTTCTCCACTTGGTGAAAGTATAGACTGGTGCAACCACTGTGGAAATCAGTGTGGAAATTCCTCAAAAAAACTAAAACTAGAAGTTCCATTTGACCCAGCTATTCCCCTTGGTATTTTCCCCCAAAATTAAAAGCATTATACCCTCAGTGATATACGCACATCCATGTTTACAGTGGCACAGTTTGCAATACCTAAATCTTAGAATAGCCCAAATGCCCATCAACTGATGAATGGACAAAGATTTTTTTATATATGATAAGAGTACTACTCTGTCATAAAGAAAAATGAGCTTGAGACATTTCTAGCTAAATGGACGCACCTAGAGACCATACTCTTGAGTGAAATATATCAGACACACATGTGTAAATATCTCATTGTTTCTCTGGTGTGAGAAACCAAAGTAGAAATAAGGACCAAAATGTATAATAGATATTGGGAAATGGAAAGAAAATGTTCAAATGAGAAGGGGAACAAGGGAGGGGGGAGGGAGAAAGGAAAGAAAGGATAAGAAAAAAAAGAGTAGAATGAAAAAATGGAAACAAAGCTTTTGTAAATAAGGAGAGGGAGATGAAGAGTAGGGGAGGATGGAAAAAAAAAAAGAAGCAGCAAGATATATCATGTACAGGTACAAATTCCCTATAATGAATGTTATCATTATGTGAATCTAAAATGTACCAATAAAAAAACCCAACAGTTTCAAATTTTAAAAAAAAGTCATATGGACATAATGCAGTGGTGGCAAACCTATGGCACGTGTGCTAAAGCAGGCTCTTTGAATCATTGAAAGTTCTAAAAGGTTCACCATCATCACTGGGATAACGTAAATCATAACAGTGAAGGCTACACCTTAGAAAAGAGGAAATTCCCACAACTGTGCAATGAAGTGCACTTAATATAACAATTCTGCATTGTATAGTTGAGTATGACAAACATGTAGAGAAATTGCTGAAAATGTTATGAAGGTACACATATTTAAAACTGGCTAAATCCCCCACTTGGTGAATATCAACTTGGAGGTGCAGTAGTCTGTACTTTGCTGGCTTCACTGAAGCACTCTAAGTGAGAATATTCTTTCAGAATGCAATGCTACTAAATTGTCTTAGATGAAAACTGCATTAAAATAAAAAGCTGGTTTTCAAATAAGAACTTTAATTGCCACATCTATTCCGCTAAAAAATTTTTTACAAGAATAAAGGTAACACTACTCATCTGTAGTAATTGTGGATGATATAGAAAGAACACAATCAGAAAAATCACCATAATTTTGCCGCCCAGAAATGAATATTGTTTTTATTTGTTTTATCTACAATTACATATTTTTAAAGCTAGAAAACAGAAAAATATTATATCCTTCTTCATTTAAATGTATTGGAAGCAGTTTTCCCAAAAATATAAGTTCTTAAAACCTTTTAAATTTCAACCAGTAGCTATTAATCCACAGTTATCACTATTCTAAATGTTCTCCAAGTTGGTAACAGTTAATAATCTTGCCCTCTTTTTACCAAGTTGTTCATACTTACCTTGTAAACTTCACTGAAACCTCCTCTACCCAAAAGATGTAACAACAAGTATCTGTCATTGAGGGTTGGATGATCTTTAAATCTGTGGAAACAGGGAGCATGTAACACCCTGAGGTCATGAAGGATAGCCCTTCATATTTTCAAAATTCCCAGAATGCCTATACACACAATTATAGCGGCTACTGATAGTTTGACATTCAACGCCAAATTGATGGGGAGTAGATTAGAATAGAGTAGGGATTTTCAAGCTACTGTTTGGCTTCTGCAAACTATTCAAGAGCTACAGGCTCTCACCATTCCAAAGTTCATAGAGTAAAATTCCAAGATATTTTATACTACCTTGAAAACACACAATTATAGAATTTCATGCTCTATTGTATGTTCATTTTTCTCTCTTTAAGGCAGAAAATTTGATACAATCACATTCCCATATAGTCTGTCTATCTTGTGTCAGTTTTTAACAATATAACCAAGAAATGACAGACTCTGGCAAAAATAAAGTTTAAAATATTTGTACTTGCTTCCTGATCTTAAACACCCTATTAATCCTTAAATTATTTTAAGAAAGCAGCATGCCTAATGAAGATAGATGACAATACTGCATGATCCACATTTGACACTGGACACACTAGTTTTGGGCTTCTAGCCAAATTAAATTCCTTTTTTTTTTTGGTACCGGGGATTGAAGCCAAATTAAATTTCTAATCTCATTTCTCGATCAATGTACTGGAGAACACAGAATTTTTAAATTTTTTTTGTACCGGGGATCAAACTCAGGTCCTTGCGCTTGCGCAGCAGGTGGTGAAACCGCTGAGCTAAATCCCCAGCCAGAATACAGAATTTTGATGAGGATTAATAGTGAGAATACAACAGCACTTAGCACCATGCCTGATACGAGTTCTCAGTGAATGATGACTACTTATGCCTGCCACCTGGCATAGGAATGGTCCATGGCTCATACTGGCCAAACAAAAATACACGACTGTGACTATGTGAAAAAATATTTGTCAGAAATATGTGGGAAAAAACAAATTACTGATAGAAGTCCTTTCCCACTTGCAGCCTACTTTTCCTACATTGAGTCCTTTAAATGACTTATAAACAAAGGTGAGGATTACTTTCCAATTAATATGGTAGAATTAAGAGTCTTTTTTGTTGTTTTTAATTTTGAGACAAGGATCTTGCTAAGTCACTAAATTGTCTAGGCTGGGCTCAAATTTTGGATCCTCCTACTTTAACCTCCCAAAATGATGGAATTATAGGTGTGTACTATCATACCTGGCAAGTCTTACTTAAAATCTCTAGTCCTTAAAGGGTCATTCAAAGACCAGGTGTCATCTCAACCTAATATTCTTCTTTCCCACAACACCACACTGTGGCTGGTGCTTCCTTTTCTCAAGGCTCCATAGGTAATTCTGAATATATAGTATAACTTCCCATTTACAATTACAAAGCTATATTGTTTCAGTGATCTCTACTCATAAAAATGTGGTACTTATATACATGTATTTAATAAATTTAATATATATTTAAAACCAAAGCAGATCATAATTTTGTTCATAAAACTCTGATATCCTACAAATGAGCAAAGTAAGCCAGCCATGGTGACACATGCTTTTAATTCCAACACTCTGGGAGGCTGAGGCAGTAGGATCACAAATTGGAGCCCAATTCAGGCAACTTAGCAAGACCCTATCTTAAAAGAAAAGATTATAGGGGCCGGGGATTTAGCGCAGTGGTTCCACCGCCTGCCTCACAAGTACAAGGTCCCAAATTCGATCCCTGATATCAAAAAAAGGGGAAAAGATTATAAAAGGGCTGGGGATGCAGTAAATATGAAGCCTTAGGTTTAATCATTTACACTAGGGGTCATTTGCCCAATTTTTATTAAACAAAAACATCATTCTACACCATTCCATTCATGTCAGAAAGGACCCAACAATCTCCAACCCAATACACCCCAAGTTGCTTACTGTGAATTATCTTCATTATGTATCCTTTTTAGTTCCCTGATATGTAAATTTCTAACCCTTTCTAGCCTTTCCAGCTCGGCCTGGATCTCTGCTTCCTCCTGAAGTGAAAAGGAAAGAAAGCTTAGAATGCAGGGAACTCTATCTTTTCAGTCTCATTTAAAAGATAACAGCTATTTCTCTTATGAAAAGCTAAAGGAAGATGTTTTACATTGATAAAAAGACTAAAAGAAAACTAGATAGTAACTAAAATCCAAACCATACAGAGGAAGTTGGGGGGCGGGTGAAAGTCCTCCGCCCCTTCCTCCTTCCTTTCCATGCTCATTCTCAAGATGCAACCATTGTTAACTTTCTGCTTAAGGTTTTAGAAATGCTTTGTGTATAGACATACAGACACGTACTTTTACAAAAATCAGGTTTTCCATCTGGTTCTATTCTCTATTACTGATTTAATAAGCTCTGACCCATTAGGGAAAAACAAATATGAAAACCAGTACGTGATATAACACATACTGGTAACAGTTAATTGAATGTGTTTTGTTTTGATTATTTTTGTTTGTTTTGAGACAAAATCTCACTATGTAGTTCAGGCTGGCCTTGAACTCACTATGTGGCCCAGGCTGGCCTCAAACTCATGGCAATCCTTTTGTCTCAGCTTCCCCAGTGCTGGGATTACAGGCATGTACCACCATGCCTACTTATCAAACAACCCATCATTGTAAACAGCATGTACCAATAATGCATGGGCTGCTGAATTTAAAAGCAGAGCAATTTACATCCAAGATATCTCTATGAACATCATCAATAACAAATTGTGTAGGTGCCTTTGTATTAGAATATGGTTGGTACAACACTTTCTTTCTAGCTAGTTTTAAGCAAGAAGTAAAAACTGATATGTGATTTAAAATATCACAAAGAACGCAGGTTCCATCATTTGATTATAGATATAATAGCAAAGGTAGCTATTTAAGATTTCTGTAGCTATAAATGAAGGGTTGAAGGGAGGGGAGGGGAATGAGAAAAAAGAATTAAAATATACTATGCACAGGTACAAATTTCCTATAATGAATATAATAGTTATGTGTGAAAAACATGTACTAATAAAAAAATAAAATTAAAAAAAAAATTTCTGTAGCTACAAGAAATTACTACTGCATTTGCTAAAATGACTGAATAATTTCCATTTTAAATGTAAACTAGAAATCATTTTTTTCCAGGCAGATTTTCTCATTATGCCTACCTTTTTCAGATGGCCTAATCTGAGTTTGAAGATTTCTTCTTGTTCATGGTATTCTGCTAATGTTAACCTGAAAAATAAAGGTAGAAATTTCAGTAAATTATTTGAAATAACAATATACCTATTTAAGGAGAAATGCTCAAGTATACTATAAACAGTATTTGGTCTCATAGTTAAAATGATCAAAAGTCAGATTATTTCTGCAATCCTCTGATGAAGGAAAACTTGTGATTCATAAGATGCAATATGAAGAAAGGATTCTAAAGCCAAACAGAAGTCTAATTTGTAAAAAGTGAGAAAAATAAGTGATCATATTTTTTTTTGGTACTGGGGATCGAACTCGGGACCTTGTACTTTCGAGGCAGGCGGCAGAACTACTGAGCTAAATCCCTGGCCCAGTGATCATATTTTTACATTATTTATGAAATGCATTCTATCTCTTACTCATGAAAACCTATTCAGAGAAGTACAACCAAACATTATGCCTAAAAAAAATTTTTAAGGGCAAAACAAGGCAATGGATTTTATCATTCTTGATAACTCTTAGACTTTGATACTATAATAACAAGAAGAAAGAGGAAAATTAGGCCCAGGATTAGGACTCTGGCTATGGTACCATGAGCAAGCAATTTTAACCTCTTAACTCAGTTTCCTGAAAATTATGTAAGTGATAACAGCTGCCTAACAAAATGTTATGACTATACAGTGAGAACGTGAAAAGGATACTGAAAATGCTAACTTAGACCAGTTCTCAAAGGTCTGACTTGATGGGTAATCACTCATTTCATATTCTACCTACTACAATTGCATCCTTGTACCTCAAGAACAAACAAGTAAGAAATTATTATCTTACTCTTCCATCTCTATTAGTTAACACAAAAGCATGCACATACACTTCAGTTTCAAATCTCACTATTTAGATTCATTCTAAATAGCAGGAGAAAAAGTAAAGTTATCCTATGTAGCAAGAAGGGTTTCAAAGTAGTCTGAAGTCTAACTCAAATAAAATAGAATGAGTAAGTAGTAGCACATCCACTAGGTAGGGTTTTACACTTGTCACAGTTGCAAAAATACATAACTATTACTCCAATTCACACCAGTAAAGTTTAAAAAAAAGAGAGAGAGAAATAAAAGATCACAGCTAAAGAATCTCTCTGCCTAAAACAGGTTTAATTCTGGGAAAGGATAAGGTGACTTACTGCAGAGGCCTGTTTTTGGCTTCTGGTTAAAGGAAAGAGCCAAGTCACAAATATTCTAAAAAGTGGACTGAAGGCCACCCGGCTTGGATTTTACATAGGACTCCAGATGACAGGTGCTCACTGACACACTACTGGCCTAGTCTAAGTTTTAATTATTGTTCTATGGCAAAACAAAATAAAACAAAAGCAAAAAACAAAACCTAAGCCTTCTTTATCATTTTTAGGCCAATGGCTTTGTACACTAATATTAAATAATTATTAAGCAATATTAAGGTAGAGTCCCTTCACAATATAAACAGAACTCATGAAAGAAAACAATGATCAGATTGATTTGTCTGGAGAATCTTTTACATCTAGGCTCTTACTTGATGAGCTTTCAAAAAAGGAATGCCTACATTTAGACTCTAGTTTTAAAATATTCAGGTGTAAGATTAAAAATGTTTTTCTAAAAAAAAATGTTTTTCGGGGCCGGGGATTTAGCTCAGTGGTTCCACCGCCTGCCTCGCAAGCTCAAGGACCCGAGTTCGATCCCCGGTACCAAAAAAAAAATGTTTTTCAAACTTAGTTCAGCACGTATACTTTTATCACTAAATGTAAGTTAATCCATCTATTTATCTCCCCTAAATAAACTGTGAATTCCTAAAATGGGATGTACTCTTTAGCTCAGAATTGGGCCTAGCATAAAATAAGCACTTAACATAGAGTTATTAAGTGAATGTTAAAGGTTTATATAAGATTAGAACTGGTGTTAAGCCATTTTTCTCTCTGGAATAAAGGAATATGCATTTCTGGGATGTCATGGACCTTTAACCCTAACCCTAACCCTAACCTTTAATAATGCTATAAGTAGCATATTTGAATTACGGGTTAGTATGTTTTGGGGAACTAATATTTTTTTTGGTTTTTTTTTTTTTGGTACCGGGGATTGAACTCGGGACCTTGTGTTTGAGAGGCAGGCGCTGCAGGCGCCGGAACCACTGAGCTAACTAAATCCCCGGCCCTTGGGGAACTAATATAAAAAAAACCTTTCATTTGTGGCTGGTCTTTGGGCATGAAATTCAATTAAAGAAAGAAAAAGGGATGAAGGAAGGATGAAGGAAGGCATTTGTGCTCAGGATTTTCTACCTTTCATATATGGAAAGCTACATAATTAATTGTTGACTGGCAGATTAAAAAGATGACTGCACTTCAAGATCCTTTCCAGAACAGGCAAAAATTCTGGCAAGGTCAAGATCTGGCCTACTGGGAAATGTAGGGTTTTTTTCTGGTGTGTGTGTGGCTTACTCCTCAGTTTATTGCTATTAACTAAGTGCTCTTTTGAGCAAAAAGGAACATTCTGCAGTCTGAAACAGTAGTCAGTCAATCCCCATAACATGATTCTAATTTACTATAATCCAGACCCACTTATAAGCAATAATATTAATGACATTTTGCTATGGGTAGCCAAAAATCATGATGTCAAGAAGTGACATTACTTTTCCCTCTCATTCAAAACTCTTATCTAAATAAATAACTTAATTAATTAATTAAATAAAAGAGCTGGGTGTGGTGGTGCACACCTGTAAGCCCAGCACTTGGGAGGCTGAGGCAGGAGGATTGCTGTGAGTTCATGGCCATCCTGAACTACATAGGGAAACCTTGTCTCAACAAACAAAACAAAACAGCAAGACTAAGAAAGTCAATTAGCTTCCTATGGTTTTTAAATGAGTTGAGCAAATTCATTAATGACTAAAAAGAGCTTAAGCTCTAGGGACCTCTGTAATTTAAACTGTCTCCAGTGGCATTCAATAGGACATTTGTATTTTAGGGGACAGTGTGGCATTTCAGTTCACATTAACAAAGAACATACGTTTCATTTTCAGCTCCATTGGTCTTGCTTTTCCGCTGTTTCTGCTCATTGGTTGCTGGAGGGGCCTGACCCATGGCAGGAGGTTTCCGCTTGGCTAACATTTTCCGTTGTCTTTCTATCTCTTCCCTCTGCGAATTTATCCTTTCTTGTTGCCTAGAGATACAGAGATGTGGCACAAAGGAGGAAGGTAAAAAAAAATTTTGTCACAGTTATGGAACAAACACAAATAACTTTGTGGATGTTGGATAAACTTCAGAAAAAGTAAGTCCCCATCCAATCAAATGGAGATGTGTATTTAACTTTAAAAGTATAGAAACCAAATAACTGGTGAGATTTTCTTGGAATGAGCTTGTGTTTTGAGCCACTAGTTATGTCTTAAAGGAGAAGAGAAGTGGATAAGGAACATACCAAATTTGTATCATGACTACTTTCTGACTGGAAAGGAAGAATTTTCTGATTCCTCTTTAACACCCATGAAAAGACTGTCTGGAATGAGCCCATCAAAAGTAAAGATTTGAGCTGGGGATGGTGGGACACACCTGTAATCCCAGCACTCTGAGATGCTGAGGTAGAAGGACCAGAGGTTCAAGCTTAGCCTAAGCAACTTAGCAAAACCTTGTCTCAAAATAAGTAATAAAAAATGGGCTGGGAAAAACAAAATGGGCTGGGGATATAGCTCACTGTCAAAAGTCCTGGGTTCAATCTGTAGTACTGGGTTGGGGGCGGGGCGGGGAGCTAGGCACAGAAGTGTTTGTCTATAGTTCCAGCTACTCAGGAGGCTGAGATGGAAGGACGGCTTGAGCCCAAGAATTTGAGTCTAGCAAGAACAATACTGTAAGACACCATCTCAACAAAACAAAAACAACGAAAGTAAAGATCTGTATTTCATTAAGAAAAAAAAGTATAAAATGTTCTAGATATCTTTTTATTTTTTGGGTTTTTTTGGTACCGGGGATCAAACTCGGGTCCTTCTGCTTGCGATGCAGGCGGCGGAACCACTGAGATAAATCCCCAGCCCTTTATCTTTTTATTTTGTGTTTGGGTCAAGTTTTCTCAAATTTTATTTAGAAAGACAAAAAGGTTGTACAATGCTAAACAAAATAAACAAGATTTTCTTTTTAGGCTTTTCACTTATTCTAGTCTAAATGAGGCATTATTATCCTCCAAATCAACTCCATTCAATAACAGAGCTACATATCAGCCTCAGAGGTTTTTGTTTTTGTTTTTTTGGTACCAGAGATCGAACTCAGGACCTTGCGCTTTCGAGGCAGGCACTGTGCCACTGAGCTAAATCCCTGGCCCTGTTTTTGTTTTTGGATACAGGGTCTTGCTGTATAGTCCCAATTGGCCTCTACTCACATGTAGTAAACAAGCTGGCCTCAAATTTGCTACACACCTGCCTCAGTCTCCAAATGCTAGGATTACTGGTATGTGCTACCACATCTGAATTTTAACTAAGCATTTTCTAAAAAAAAAAAAAAAAAAATCAGAGAAAGTCAATGAAGTCTCACGAGTAGTAATTGACATTAAGTGAATTAGTGTAAAACAATATTTTCTAAATCATTAGATATCTAACATCATTACTACTCAAGTATTTCCTAATAAGATATTTAATTTTTCTGTAAGAAAATTACAGGTTGATTATTCCCTAAAAGTTTCAGATTCAGGCCAGGGATTTAGCTCAGTGGTGCCACTGTCTGCCTTGCCAAGTGCAAGGTCCTGAGTTCAATCCCTGGTACCAAAAAAAAAAAGTTTCAGATTCTAATTCAGGCACAGTGGTGCATGCCTACATTCCACACAATCTGGGAGGCTGAGGTAAGAGGATTAAATGTTCCAGCCCAGCCTGGGTAACTTGGCAATTTAGCAAGACCCTGTCTCAAAATTTAAAAAATTTTAAAAGGGCTGGGTATGCAATTCATAATGGGAAGGCTTGGGTTCAATTCCAGTCTCTCTCTCTCTCTCACACTCACATGGTTTGGATTAGGAATGCGCAACCTATAAAGTTTATGCAAATATTCCAAAATCTGAAATAGTCTGATATCTAAAATATTTCTGATCTCAACCATTTGGGATAAGGGATAGTCAACTTACAGTTTATAAATTATAAGAAAAACCACATTCTGTCATGGATTCCCACCACCAAACAGAGTCTAGGGTTTCTTTTTTGGTACCAGGGACTGAACTCTGGACCTTGCACTTGCAAGGCAGGTGCAATTCCACTGAGCTAAATCCCTGGCCTCTCTTTTTTTTTTTTGGTTTTCTGAGACAAGGTCTCACCATGGAGGTCAGGTTGGCCTTGAACTTGTTGATCCTCCTGCCTCAGCCTCTTCAGTGCTGAGATTACAGGGATGTGCCACCACGTCCAGCTGATACTAAGGTTTATAGACTTAGTACACAAAAATACAGTATAGGCCGGGGATTTAGCTCAGTGGTTTCACCACCTGCTGCACAAGCGCAAGGACCCGAGATTGATCCCCGATACCAAAAAAACAAACAAACAAAAAACCCAAAAATGCAGTATATCAAAAGCCGGGCAGGGTGATACATCTGTAATCCCAGCACTCTGAGAACCTGAGGCATGAAGATCACAAGTTTGAGCCCTATTTGAGCAACTACATGATTTGGGACCCTGTCTCAAAATTAAAAAAAATAAAAAGGATTGGGGATGTAACTCAGTGTGAAGGCCCTGGGTTCAATCCCCAGTGCACAAAACAAAAATAAGTTTAAAAGTATTAAGATTTACTAGGCACAGTGGCACATACCTATAATCCCAGCTACTTGGGAAGCTGAGGCAGGAGGACTGTAAATTCAAGAACAGCCTCAGCAACTTTGCAAGATTCTGTCTCAAAACAAACAAACAAACAAGGCTGGGAATGTAGCTCAGTCATAGTCAGTGCTCCTGACTTCAATCCCCACTAAAACACACACACACACACAAACACACACAACTATACTTGCACATACACATTTGAGACTAACCATTTAATAGACTGAAGTCTTTATATCACCTATTATAGTTGATAATCAAACTGCTAGCTTCCTTACCCTTTTCTACCAGATTTTTTTCCCCCATCTCCTGTTTTGGAACCAATCTTCATATTTGCAAACTGATGAAATCTATTTTTTAAAAACTCATTCTACACTCTTCTGTAAGCAATGTAGTTGTCACACCTTTTCCAGATACAAGATATCTTTTTGTTTTGTTTTGTTTTGTTTTTTTGGTATCGGGGATCGAACTTGGGACCTTGCGCTTGTGAGGCAGGCGCCGGAACCACTGAGCTAAATAATCCCCGGCCCAAATTCAGGATATCTTTCTCAGTAGAATGGCAACCAGACAAACAAGTGTACATGCCTATAGTACAATTTATACTACCGTATAAAAAAAGGGCAACACTATAAGCAAGGTTAATCTAAGCAGTATTACAAATAAATAAGTAATCATTTGACAATACAATTGCTTTGGTTTCAAAATGAGCCAGATCACTGATTAGACATCCATTTAACAGTAAACATATTAGTTCAAGAGCTGTGTTTGCCTGAAAAATTTCTTTACTATTAGATATGCTTTCTCCTACGTTACCCCCCCCCCAATATTCATACACAGGCACACACATGAAATAATTATGGCTTCAAAGAATTCTGGGGTTTGGAGCTGGGCATGGTGGCACACTCCTGTGATCCCAGCTTGGAAGGCTGGAGGATCACAGCAATTTCAAGGCCACCCTGAACTACACAGTGAGACCTTGTTTCAAAAAACCAAAAAAATGCCTGCCTCACAAGCGCAAGGTCCTGAGTTCAATCCCCAGTATGAAAAATTAAAATAACCGCCCCCCCAGAAAAGTAGGAAAAAATCAGACCACAAAAATCTAATCTCATGTAGATTTTAGTTTTTCAAATATTTTACACTTCTTAGTATATTTTAATTACATTTTTAGTCATTTACCAACAAAACATTTATTGGAAAATTCTGAAGGAGAAAATTTTTAACGTTTTCTTTTAGATAAAAATGCATGCTATGAACCCAGGTGTGGTGGCACACTCCTGTAATCCCAGCACTCAAGAGACTAAGGCAGGAGGACTGCCACAAGTTTGAGGCCAGCCTGGGCCTCGTAGTGAGTTCAAGGTCAGCCTGAACTACACAGCAAGACTGTCTCAAAAAAAAGCATGCTATGAAACTTGTACATTTAGACAAAACAGGCAATGAGGAATTTCTGAAGTTGGTTCATTTTATTTCTCTGTTCTGGAACCACAAAATTGAAAAAAAATAATAATTTTTTACCTCAAAATTTCATGTTTTTTCTAATAAACAAACGGCGCTATAAAACAAAAAACTTGAAAATTTCTGTTCAGATGACTATTATAAACACACACACACACACACACACACACACACACACACCCCACAAAAAACAAAGTGATTCTCTAGAGACTGTATATTGTTTTCTTTTTCTTTTTCTAATGTTTAAAGCTGTCTCATTTATTATTTAGGCTATTTAGGCAATATACTTATGTTGAAAATGGAAGCAAATTTTTCAACTGCTTTTAAAGAAAGTAAACAGAAATTAATGAATTTACTGTTATACTCAAAATTGTCTATGTTTAAGGTGAGAATCTTTGCCAAGAGAAAGGCACTGCTCCAAATTGTGAATGGTATTACGAAGAATTGCAATCTCTGTTTTTTTCTTCTTGAAGATGTTGAAGCTTCCTTCTGTAGATACTCTGTGGGGAAATAATAGCATCTGGATATGGTTTTGATTTAGTCTGAACTCTTGCTAGTTTGGCATCAAACTCCAGCTGTAGTTTGATTATTTCATTTTGCTTTTTTTTTCTTGAGTTATTAACTTTGCATTTAACTCTGAGATTTCCATCTTCTTTTTCTTTATTAGATCTTTGTGCTTTTCATTTAATTCAACTTTTTTCTGCACATCTTGATAAAGTTCACTTATTTCTATCTTATGTTCTTCCCTTTTGATTTTCATTTCATGTACAAATTTGGCAATATTATTCTTATATTCCTGTTTGTGAGATTTCAGCTTTTGCCTTGTCATATCAGCATTTCTTTTCAGTTGTTCATTTTCAACTCTCAAATTGTGTTGATATTCAATGGTCTGTTGTAGCCCTTTTATCATATCATGAAGAGCAGCACATTCTTTTTAAATTGAGGCTTCCTTTGTTTGCATTACTTTTAATAAACAGGTACTCTTTTCCAACTGAATTTCCAGTATGTTATTCTTTCCACTGGTTTCTATCATTTTCTTTTCTATCTGTGAAAAATCCTTTATAAGTTTGTCAATATTCACACTGCTAATCTTTTTTGTACATTCTTCGCTACTTTGATCCATGCTTGAATTGCTGTTGTTCCTGGTTCCTCAAAGTCTCCCCCACCTCAATTCTGTATATTGTTTGCTTAAAGGGACTCGGGGACATGTTCTATAAAGTTCTTCTATGGTTTTGTTTTACACCTAGCTCAGAAAATTCCTCCCTGAGTTCTTGTCTGTTTTGTTTTTCTGTAGACCAAAGATAAATGCTCAAGTAGCTCCTCATGAAACTCTACTACTTAGGAGCTGGGGGTGTAGCTCAGTAGTAGAGTGCTAACCCAGAATGTATGAGGCTCTAGGTTTGATCCTCAGCGCTCTCCCTGACAAAAATCCATTACCAATTTAAAAGTTATTAAGTAAAAACCTAGATTTTTCTTCCTTAGCTTCAGCAATTTTGATTCTTTTAAGCTTTAATGCAGTTGTTTTTATTTCTTTTGATTATTTGTATGTTTTAAAAAATTCTACCTTATTTCCTGTTTCTTTACACCTGTGATTAAAAAACTAAATGAAAACATGACTATCACTACTGTGATTAATGACAACAGTTACAGAAAACTTAAAAAATCCAAACAAACTTTTCAATTCTTCATTTAATTGTAACAACTCACTTACTTGATAAGATTCTGGAAAGCATAACCATCTGTCCATTGTTCAGTAAAGGAGGCCCCATGTCGGACAGTAGTAAAGTGGCCCAATCTCAATCGGTCCTGCATACTCTTATCTCTACATGCCATCTTCTCTTGTTTTGACTTAAGGGGAAAGGATTAAAAAAAAGAATTCAACATCAGTTACCATAGACGAAGACACTTTTTGAAATTCAAAATTATAAGAGCATGAAGGAAAATACTGTCAAAAAAACACAGAATAGTCAGAAGTGACTCCTTTGATGACATACTACTATCATTTAAACAAAGTGGACATGACAGGACAGTGAAGAACTGTAATTTCTTTCTTTTTCGTTTTTTTGTTTTTGAGTCAGGGTCTCACTATATATAGCCCAGGCTGGCCTCAAACTAGGGGCAATCCTCCTCTCTCAGCTTCCAAAGTGCTGGGATTAACAGGCACACGCCACCACACCTGGTCCTGCAATTTCTTTCTTGGTAAACGTTCAGCATTTCATATGTGGACCATAATAATCCCTAACTCCAAAGCTGTTTCCCCATTTTCTATTTCTTCACCCAGCCTTCTCTACAGAACTGCTACCAATTCATCTCAAAAATATCACCTGGCACGTGTTCATTCTAAGTTCTTACTCAGGACATCTTATGTATCCCAGATTCTTGAGCACATCATTTATACTACATGTATTTACTCAAAACCAATTATATGACAGGGATTATAAGACAGCTTAATAGAGAAAAGGCGGGGGGGAGTGGTGCTGGTGTTTATTGCCTAGAGGGTGAATATACTGATTTGTAATTATAATTAAATTTGTGATAAAGAACTTGAGGGTAAAGAACAAAGTACTGTGAGATAAGACTCGGATGATACTTACTTGAGATAGTCTATATACTTTTAACTGGCAGGCAACTTATATCTACAGTTTTTCTGCCTAGAACACATTTTTCTACTTTCTTCTAGCTTAAATCCTCATTGAGTCCTCTGTCCTTGATTTCCTTCAGTGAATTTCTTAAATACACTGATGATTTTAATAGGTTTTTTAGTGCATATGAATGTATCTTATTCCCCACCCTCACTCCCTATAGACTGAGCCTTCTGAGGGTGAGAGCAGTGTTTCATGTTTCTTAGATACACATATCTTATGTATGAGTTCATCCCTTTTTATTACTGGGTAGTTTTCCATGGTGTGAACACACCAGTTTGTTTATACATTCACCTGCTGCCAGACACCTGTGATATATTTGGCTACTCTCAATAAAACTGTTTTGAATATTCTTGTGAAAGTCTTTTGTCAACATTTACTCTCATTTCTCTAGGGTAAATACCAGGAACAGACCTTATGCTGAGCCACTGGTTACATATCATTTACCTTAATAAGAAATTGCCAAAAAGTTTTCTAAAGTCGATGTAATATTTTACATTCCCATTAGTGTGAGGAGCTGGGCTGCCAACACATCTACACCACATTTGATGTTCTCAATGTTTTTACTTTAGCCATTCTGCTGGGTATGTGATAATTAACTGTGGTTTTAGCTTGAATCTGGTTGATGTCTAGTAATGTTGAGAAATCTTTTTGTATGTTGGCCATATGCATATCTTTATTTATCTTTTTTTTATAAAGTGTCATTCAAGGTATTTTGTTCACTTTTAACATTTTTAAATTATTAAGTTATAGGAATCTTCATGGATTTGGAACATAAATTCTCTGGAAGGTAAACCTACAAATATTTCCTCCCAAGCTGTGGTCACATTTTTATTTATGTTTCCTTATATTCCAGAATGGTATACCAGATATTCAACAAATATTCTGTATTTAGAAAACTGAATTATTTTGGATATAAATCTAAATTTAATTATGTTCTACTCCTAACAAATAGAAAATTCTAATTTTCTATGAGAATTCAAGAGACAGCACTATGTTTATTTTTTGTACTATGTTGTTCAGAGTTTGGTACAACTGGCTGAATCTATTTTGATTTCAGGAAGTGTCTCAAACTCTAGACAAAGATTCGGAATAAGTATATGCTAGTATTATTTAGCCTTATTATTTTTTATTCTTATCAAAATGGGAAAAAAGTAGTTTCCTTCCTATAAAACTGATGAATAAAGTAGTTCTTCCTAGTATCTCCAAGGACAGTAAAACAATCTATTTCACTTTCAATGAAAGACAAGTGCTCTTTATCACTTTAACAGCACTCCAACAATTTCAAGAAAAGTAACCACCTGTGTCTCTCAAAACTTCTAGCTCATAACCTTTAAATTAATGTCTTCAGGAAGCACTGCTTGTTTAAAACTTCCAAGAAACTGCAACTAATAAGCATCAAACCATCAAAGCCAAGCTACAACTAATCAGTTACTCTAATAAAAGAGACATCAGGTTGGGTGTAGCAGCAGTGCACGCCTATAATCTCAGCACTTTGGTAAGCTGAAGCAGGAGGATTGCATGTTGGAGTCCAGTCTGTGCAACTTAGTGAGATTCCATCTCAAAAAAAAAAATCTAGGAATGCAGTGCAAAGGTCCTAGATTCAATCCCCAGCCCTGTGAAATAAATCAACAAAGGAGATATCAACAGATAGTGTTTGAGGTGACATGGCAGCACATGTCTGTAATCCTAGCACTTAGGAGGCTGAGGCAAGAGGATCACTGAGAGTTCAAGGCCAGCTCAGTGGCACCACACCTGCCTCACAAGCACAAGGTCCTGAGTTCAATACCCAGTACTGCAAAAAAAAAAAGGACCAACCTGAACTACATATGAATTTAAGAGAGCAATATCTCAGGCTAGGGGTGTGGTTTGGTGATTGCTTGACTAGCCTGCATAAGGTCCTGGATTTGGTCCCCGCACAATGAAGAGAGAGTGGCAGGGGCACAGAGGCAACAGACCAATAAACTCAAGTAGGATAAGCTGTCAGCATCATACTCAAAGCAACGAACAGTCAGAAAACATGTCCCACACTGTCACTCTGGAGGTTTGGTTTGTTGTACACGCAAAGAAAAAATTCTAATTGTCAAATCACAAAAGGTGGTTTCCTAAAGAGCCTTACCTTTCAATATTCTCATTTCAGGTAAGAAGGAGCCACACAATGAAACACATTAAGTATCTCAGGATGTGGCGGTCAGGCCACCATTATTCACTAACCTTTTCTATAAGGAGTTTCTTGCTCATTGTGACACACCTATTTAATCGTTCTTTGTATTTCTCTAGCATCTTTTGCTGTTCGTCAATTTGCCGTCTTAAGTCACAGTTGGCCTTCAATGGAAAAATATTTCTTAAATTAGTACCAAGGAAGCTACATTAATAGAATCTCTAAGGAAAGAGAAAAATAATTTTAATCTGTTGTTAAATCAAAAGCAAAATTTAGGTTCAATGAGAAGAGAAATCATATCTTTATAAAAGGTAAACGATTCATCCCTTTTACTCGTAATATTATTATTTAGTTATCAATAATGAATTCTGTTACCAAAAGGCATGTTTTTCTACTGATTATATAGCTAATTTAGCTGTTTTCAGAAGCCTACTGGATGGGCTAAATACTTAAAGAAAAAAAAAATCAAGTCTCCTACAGTAACAGAGAAGGAAAGAACCACTAACCCAAGGTCAATTTTGGCTTGCAACATCTGAATTTATTCTTGTTTTGTTAACCAAAAGATATCTACTCTTTGGGTAAATAGTGTTACTTTACAATAACTTCCTTAAATTATGAAAAAATATCTCTTATTTCCAAATCAAGTGATATGAACTCTTTCTGAAACACACAAACAGAGCTAGGCATGGTGGTGCACACCTGTAATCCCAGCCCTCGGAAGGCTGAGGTAGGAGGATTGCTATGGGTTTGAGGCCAGCCTAAACTACATAGTGAATTCAAGGCCAGCCTGGAATAGTGAGATTCTGTCTCCCCCAAAAAACAAGAACAAAAAAGGACACAAATGCAAGATATTACAGTACATTCAATTTTTGAGACTTTTTAGCTTCATTTTTAAAAGTACCCTGTGTAAAACAGGAAATCCCCAAGTGCTTTTATTTTCCAAATAAGTGTAACTCTTCCTATCAGTTTTTCAGGTTTTCTTATAGAGTCCTATGGACCACATTATCAAAGGCTAAGTGTAACAACATTTAGATAACTGTGACTAACTATTCATACCCAAGAATCTATAAGCCAAAAAATAATCTAGTGTTTAAGTGAAATTCAATCTACTTTTGGAAAGTGAGTGTTCCTACGCTTGATCTTAGCCAAAAGTCCGAGAAGTGATGGAAAGTGAGTGTTCCTATAAAATCTGTTATCAAATGTACAGAATTAACCTCTGACAGGTTTAAGAATTGTAAATTTTTGTGATTTCTGACAAAAATGATGTCTAGGAGTTCATATTTGAAATAGGAGCTAACAAAGAGAAAAGGAAGAAGAGGAGAAGAAGGGAGGGGAGGAGGGGAAGAGAGGGCAACAGAAGGCAAGGGAGGGAATGGGAGGAGATGGAGGGGAAGGAGAGGGAGGGGAGGGGAGGAACTGGCTACTAGCCCCTAATGCAGCCATATCTAGTATCTCAAATGAAATGGAAAAACTCCAGTGAATGACTCATGCCTGCCTGAAAGGAGATATAAGAACTTGTTGTCCTTCCCTCTCTGCCTATCCTCCAGATCAGAAACACAATCAACTACAAAAATTAGCAGCTACCCTTCCCTGTCTTGCTTCTTCACATATCTATTCCTTTAGTACTGCTCTATATCCAAATAAAATGACTACAGCCTTCCTAAGACAAGCAGACATATGGCTCAGTAGTAGAGTAGGTCTTAGTATGCTGTGTTTAAACCTGGGAGAGAGAGGAGAGAGAATGGAGAGAGGAGAGAGGAAGAGAAAGACAGAATATGAATATGCACTAGAAAGGGAGTAGAAGGGAGCATACTACTTCCTAGAGCAGATACTTTTTTAAACCCAAGAAGCAGTATCAAGTTAGGATTTAAGTTTTTCTACCTTTTCAATCTTTTGTTTGTTGTTCCTTGTTTTCTTCCTGGTGCTAGGGATGGAACCCAGGGCCTCAGGCAGGTTAGGCAAGCACTATGCCACAGAGATAACTCTATCATCCTTACAATCTTTATGCAGGTTAGGAAGGAGAAAAATAAGCCTATGAACCTTGTTCAGCCCAACAAAGCTACTCCAGACAGAATCCTACCAGATACTGGAATCTGGCCAGGTATTGTTCACATCTACAAGCTATCTCATTATAAATCTTAGATGGCGACTCAACCATCACCCAAATCAACAAAAATCAGTAAGAGCAATTCTAAGCAAGTAAATGTGCAAACAATGGAGATACAAGACAAGTACTAGTGTATACACTGCTAGCCTCAAAATTGAAAGAAAACAGGGCCAGGGGTTTAGCTCAGCGGTGCCATGCCTGCCTTACAAGCGCAAGGTCCCGAGTTCAATCCCCAGTACAAGAAAGAAAGGAGGGAGAGAGGGAGAGAGGGAGAGAGGGAGAGAGAAAGGAGGAAAGAAAAAAAGAAAGGAAGGGAGGAAGGGAAAGAAAGCAAAGAAAGGAAAGGAAAGGAAGGAAGAGAAAGAAAGAGAAAGAAAGAAAGAAAGAAAGAAAGAAAGAAAGAAAGAAAGAAAGAAAGAAAGAAAGAAAGAAAGAAAAAAGCAAGCAAGCAAAACAGCAAAGAAACATTGGCCTAAGGAATACATTTCTTTTTTTTGGGTACCGGAGATCAAACTCTGGACCTTGCACTTACGAGGCAGGTGGTGGGACTACTGAGCTAAATCCTTGGCCCAAGAATATATTTCTAAATAAGAAAAGGGAACATCACCAATACTGACTGTCATATTCCACAAAAATGCAAAGACTCATTCATGAAACAGAAGCCAAGAACCACACAAATTATACTGAACAGAACAAGAAAGTGTATAATCTCCAAAGAACTGTGATGAGCTGGGAAAAAAAAAAAGCCAACCCCCAAAAGTTGTATCTGCATGATTCCACACATGTGGCCTTCTTGAAATGATAACAGAAATGGAGACTAGATTAGTGGTTGCCAAAGGTTAAGGAGGAAGTGAGGATAAGAGGAAGTGGATGTAGCTATAAAAGAATAACACGAAGGATCTTGATTCATGAAAATGTTCTGTATCCTGATTGTACCAATGTACAGTATATGCTGTGGTGGTGATTTTGCAAGATGTTATCATCGAGAGAAACTGGTTAAAGTTTAGAGGGGTTCTCTCTGATTTTTGGTTGTTTTTTTTTTTTGGTACTGGGGATCAAACTCAGGACTTTGCGCTTGCAAGGCAGGCGGTGGCACCACTGAGCTAAATCCCCGGCCCACAGGGGTTCTCTCTGAAATGTGAAAATAACATTTTATACTCATTCCTACAGTTCTGGATAAAATTTAACACTCCACCTATTTATTTCTCTAGTGTAAATTCAAATATTAAAATACCACAATATAAGATTTCCATTGGGCTGGGGATTTAGCTCAGTGGTTTCGCCACCTGCTGCGAAAGCGCAAGGACCCAAGTTCAATCCCTAGTATCAAAAAAAAAAGATTTCCATCTTAAGAACAGTGTTTAGAACATAGGTATGATTTTGGCTCCTACTCTTATTTCTTCAGATTAAAAAAAATATTGAAGTATTTATTGTTTAACTTTGTTATCTGGCTGGAGTAATTATTTCCATAATATGCATATAATCCAAATATACATAACGACTAATGCTTATTATAAAATCTCTTACATTTTAATACTTACTCTTAATAAATCATCTATTCTTCCTTCCTTCTTTTCTAAGTCAGAATTCTTACTATTTTCTAGTGCAGATATTTTTTCTATTGTGAGGTCAGACTATAGAGACAAAGGCAAAACAAATTTAAGATTAGTCTCAAATTATTACATGTCATCACATTTTTATTACACTGCACCCACACTTCAAAACTATGTTCTGAAATCAAATATACAAATTCTCAAACTATGGTGCATTGAACAATACAGAAACATAGTACTCTAGAAATGAAACTAATTTTGAATAAAAAAGGAACTGAAGAGACAAGAGCCCAAATCTCTAAGCAACAAAAATGCCATCTAGTGGAAAGAAGGAGCAATCAGAGTGGATAGATGAAGTTTCCTGAGTGCTCAACTAAGTCTATTTGACTGTCCAAATGCTGAAGATACAGATAAAATTAAAACTTCTAAACTGCCAAGCATCCTGTCTTGAAAGCAACACAGACAGTGCCAAAAGAGGGTGCAGTAACACCTAATACACTATTAGTTAATTCAATGCTACATATGTAGGATATATTTACTTTCCTTCTCAATTATAAACTGTAAATGTTCACAACATTCCTTAAATTTAAAACTGCTGAAGAGTGCTTTTAAGGAGGAAATTACGTTGGTGTAGCACATCTCAAAGAAGTTTAGTTAGGTCTTAACAAGTAAGTAAGCAGGCATAAGGAATAAATAAAGTCATAAAGGAGGGAATTAACATTTACTGAAAGCCTACTCTAAGCACCATTCTGATAAGGATTTTGTAAACATTGTCTGAGGTAATTAAAATCAACCACTTTTATTTTTTAACAGATGACTGCTACTAAAACAAGCTGAACCCTAGGAAGACGAAAGTGTTAAAGTGGCAGAGCCCAATTTAGAACCTAGGACCAGAGCCCCAGGTATAATCATTTCTGCTACAATACATCCAAAAGGTAAAGCAAGGCCTCAAACATTAAAAATAACATCCAGAAGACTTTAAATATTCCTAATACAAGTTCTGAGTACATAACAACTGATGAAGTATGGTCAAAGAAATAAAGAGAAGACTTTCTCTACAGTGAGATTTATCCCCAAGCTGATCCACTGTTCATCAATTCCCCGACCTACCTGGGTCTGTCTGTGCTGGATGGAGATCTGCTTTTGGGAGCTGCAGGAATGCTCTGTGTTGCCAGATCCCGTAGAAGAGGGACTGTTTTGTTGAGCCTATAATAAAGGTACACTGCCAATCACAGAAAGGTTTTACATCTTTTTCCATAAACATTTATATGAATGCAATTACCTTTGTATTAAACAAATCCCTTTTGATGAAAATCAGAAATCAGGGTCATATGGTCAAGATGTAAGTAAAACAAGTCAAATATGAAACACAAGGGCTGGATATAGTGGCTTAGACCGTGTTCCTGTCACTAAGTTTTAAAGTATCAAATGCTTACAAATAAAATTTTTAATATATAAATTAGAAAAAACAGGCATTATTTCTGTCATAACTTGTTTTCACTTGTGTTTTAGTATGGTTTCGCCAGAAAAGGCAAGGCACAGAGATGAGAGTCCAGGTAGAAAGAACTGCAAAGTACTACTCAGGACAGTTTCCTAAGCACACAAGCATTATCTAGAAAATACACAGTTGTCTAAAACTCTGGGTTGATCTCCAATATTGGTTTTGTTTTCATTTTTTTCCCCAGTGTTAGAAACCGAGCCTAAGAAATGCTAAGCAACATCCTCAGGCTTTTCATTTTTTTAAATTAGTACATATTTACAGTACACAATGCTTACATTCCTTGTGAGGAGCTGATATATGTACACAACACATCTTAATTCCTTTTTTCATTTTCTTTCTCTCCCCTCCCCTCCTCTTCCATCTCTTGATCCCCTTCCCATCTGAAAGAGAACTATCTCTCCTACTTTCTGTTACCTATCTTTTAATTTGCTCTTTATTTGTAATTTCTCATGTAAGAGAAACCATGTGATGTTTAAGCTTGTGTGGTTGATTTACATCACTTAAAATTAGTCTTGCGGTGCCATCTGTTTTCCTACAAATGACAAAAGTTTATCCTTCTTTATGGCAGAGTAGTTCCACTGTGTATAAAGTCCACATTGTCTTTATCTGTTCATCTGTTGATGGACATATAGGCTGCTTTCAAGATTTACTTAGTATGAATTTTCTCCATCCTTTTTTCTTTTTGAGACAGGGTCTTGCTATGTAGTCCAGGTTGCCTTTGAATTCACTATGTAGCCCAGGTTATCCTTGAATTTACAGTGATCCTCCTGTTTCAGCCTCTCAAGTGCTGGGATTGCACATGTCTGCCACTATTCCTGGCCTGGCTCTATCCTTTTTAAAATTTCAATTTGAGACAGGATTATCCTAAGTTGCCCAGGGTGGACTCAAATTTACCATCCTCCTGACAGCCACCTGACTAGCTGGGATTACAAGAGTATGCTTCCATACCCAGCTTACAGTATTTTCTTATTTTTAAACTTTTATTTATTTTAGCACTAGGGATCAAACCCAAGACTTTGTGCATGTTAACCACTGAGATAAACTCCCAGCCTTAAAGGTTTTTTAAATTTATATGGTTTGGTTTAATATAATTCATCTGTTCAGGAATATACTCTTAGTAGTCCTTTAAAAAAAAACAAAAACAAGGGGGGCTGGGGATTTAGCTCAGTGGTTCTGCCACCTGCCTTGCAAGCACGGGGTTGATCTCCAGTCCAAAAAAAAAAAAAAAAAGACTGCCATAAAAAAAAAAACAAGATACAATTTTACTTAATATAGTATGACCCTTCACATATATAACTAGGGAGTGCTAGATATTTTGAGGATCATGGGATAATGGAAATACAGTTCTACTACCTCATCAGTGAACACAGTTTACATATATGTAAATTTTAGATGTTTGGGGTATATAGCTCAGTAGCAGGATGCACACTTAGTACACATAAGACCCTGGGATCAATCCTCAGCACTGCAAAAAAAAAAAGTGAATTTTTGATATTTTCTTTACATTTTTTTTTTTTTTTTTTTTTTTTACATAGGGTCTCACTATGTAGGTCAGGCTGGCCCTGAACTCACTATACAGCCCAGGTCGGCCTTGGACTCACAGTGATCCTCTTGTCTCACCCTCTTGACTTCTGAGATTACAGGTGTGCACCACCATCCCTGGCTCTTGATTATTATTTTTACTAATTACCATATTAACAATGGCAAAATCATCATCTATTGAGGAATCACTATAAGCTAAATGCTTCAATGTCATTGTCACATGTAATCCTTATAAAATCCTATAAGGTGGTGATGATGGTGATGATGATGATGATGATTTTACAGATAAAATATAAATCAGAGACATTAGGTTCCTACACAGAAATAGTCAAAGTGGGTGAACTGGACGTGGTTGTCTGTGTCTACAATAACAGTTCTCAAGGACCAGAGTAGACTGTTACAACCATAGTGTGTGCAAGCTAAAGAGTTCATGCATATGATTCTATTGAAGGATCAGTAGAGCTTTGTAAGGTAGACAGTATTACTAACTCCATCATCTTTATGTCTTCATTCAGTAAATACTTACTGAGTACTACCTATGAGGTTTTTAAAAAATTACTTTGTTTTATTTTTGAGACTGGAGCTCACTATGTAGTTCAGGCTGGCCTTGAACTCACTATGTAGCTCAGATTGGCCTCAAACTTACAGTGATTCTCCTGCCTCAGCCTCCCAAGTGCTGGGATTACATGTGTGCATCGCCATGCCAGACTCCTTTGAGTACTACCTATGTCCAAACACTTTTAGGTGCTAGGAGCACATGGCCATAGAAAATAAATACAAACCACCAGTCTTTTTACCTTAATGAAATTTACAACTCAAGACAAGATTTACTAAGTACCCAATAAATATTTGTTGAAAGACATTGTTGAATGTACAATCACAATAAATGCAAAAGTACAATTAGGAGAAGTACTCATAGGAGCACACCACAAAGATATAATATAATCTATAATCTAGACTCAGGGGTGAACCTTGAAGCTTAAGAATTGAAGGTAATCGGTCAAAACAGGAGATGATGGGGGCCATTCCAGGTAGAGAATATGAATGAAGGCACTACTGGAAAAGGTAAGACTGATGAGTTCTGGAAAGTCAAAAGAGAGGAACTAGTTTCAAAGAGACCATTAAACAACTTATGCAGCCGGTAAGTAGTAAAGCTATGATTAAAAGCCAGGTCTGTGATTAAAAGAAAAACAGCAATCTAAACTTTTCTTATTAGTTAAGAGTCATCATTACAAGCCTCAAGTATTTCACTATACCATGATACAAAGATGTGGTCTCCTTCAGTTATCATTAGATTGCTCTTACAATCTTTTCCTTCCCATCTTTGTTTCTAAACACATATGACTGTTTGAACTGTATTTTTAGTAAGAGCTAAGAAGAGTCAAATGACTGATTGAAAAGCTCTTTTATGAATTTCTTTTAGGGGGTTTTGTTTTGTTTGCTTGAGACAAGGTCTCACTATGTAGTTTAGTGTGGCCTTGGACTCACTATGTAGCCCAGGGTGGCCCAAACTCACGACAATCCTCCTACCTCAGTCTCACAAGTGCTGGGATTACAGGTGTGTATCATCACACTCAGCAAATTTCCAGATTTTGATAGATGGCCTGTGATAATACTGTCTTCTACATATGCTCATTTCTGGTTCTATGTTTCCTTCTAACAAACTGAGAGTACTAGTATCTAATTTAATGGGATGCTTCTAAATAAAATCTTTCTGTAAAAATACCTCTATAAGTGCCCCAATGACAAGTAAAAATGCAAAAGCTAACTGAGGAAACGAGTCAGTCTGGAAATAAGAAATCCAAATGAAAAGAATGCTTTTGAAATGTACTGCACAAATATGAGGACCTAGAGCCAGGGATATAGCTCAGTGGCGCCAGGCCTGCCTGCACTAGGTCCTGAGTTCAATTCCTGGTACTTGGGGGAAAAAAAATGAGGACCTAACATGACAACCTGGGTCCTTGATATAAAAAAATGCTAATTCTAAGCATTCAATATTAATTGTGGTCCTCTGTGCCTGGTTCTATATTAAACACTAGAAATTGAAAACTGGAAAACCGTGAGAGCTGCCACTCTCCCAAGAAGTCACTGATTATGAAGAATGTAATCAATGAGAACATTATTTGCCAACCTAGCCACCTGGGCCACTGTACTTGTAAATTAAGTCTAATGCCTTCATTATCATACATTCTCTCCAGATTTCTATATATTTTCTATCTACTATACAAGTAATGTAAGTCTTTTTTTTTTGGTCCCAGGGATCAAACTCAGAACCTTATGCTTGTGAGGCAGGGGGCACCACCGCTGAGCTAAATCCCCAGTCCAAGTCATATACTTTGTAAGGGTTTTATAATCAGACTATATAAAGAACTCTTACAACTCAATAATAGAGAATGCAATTTAAAAACAGATTTGAACAGATATTTCTCCAATAATACACAAATGGTCAATAGGCAAATGAAGAAATACTCAATGTCAATAAGTTATTTGAGAAATGCATATCAAAACCATAATATGTCACTTTACATCCACTAGGATAACTTAAGATTAAAACACAGACATGGGCCGGGGATTTAGCTCAGTAATGCTGCTGCCTGCCCTGCAAGTGCAAGGACCTGAGTTCAATCCCTAGTATAAAAGATAAAACAAAAAAAAACCCACAGACAAAAACAAGTACAGTACTGGCAAAGACATGGAGAAACTGGAATATTCTACTGATGGGAATGTAAAGTGGACCAGGTGGTACAAATACAGTTTGGCAGTTCCTAAAAATAGCTACCATATAACCATGCAATTTCAATCCTCAGTGTATATCCAAAAGAAATAAAAACATGGTGGCAGGGCACAGTGGTAAGACAGGAGATTGAGGTACAGCAAACTGGCTGGGGGAGTGGATGTGACTTGTCAACCAGAGTTCCAGGACACAGATACAGAATATTTCCTAAAGCCCTGCACTTGGAACCCATCAGAGAGTGCTATCTTCAGATCTTCTCCCTAGATCTACAGCAGGTTTTTGACAGGATGGCCTACTAGTAATGGAACCTATGGTATGTGTGCCACAGCAGGCTGCATCACTGACAGCTCTCAAAGGTCCACCATCAACAGTAGACCCTGATGTCAGCCTGAGGAGTGGGGGATACAAAAGACAATGCTATTTTCCTTG